GTGAGCTTATGAGACCTCTGTAACCCGCTCCTCATTTCTGCTGCTGGCTTTAGCTACTTGAGGCTACATTTGCAAAGATTTGCAGTCAAGTTAATCGAGTCCAGATGCTTTGTGGGTAATGTCAGGATTTGACAAGGAAGAAGAATAAAAGATGATGACATCTCTGGTTCTGCTGCATTGAATGAAACTGTCCATTGTGAGTCTGACTGTATTACATGAGTGTAATGCTAACTCTAAAAATGTTTGCAATTGGTAGCCTGGTTGGCAAAAAAAGTAAAAAAGTTTAGTTTGGTGTCTGTAAGGCGGTGACATAATTGTAAATATGGAGTGAAACAGCTGTGTGTGGAAAAGAAAACTGACCAGGGGAAGAGTATTTCTTAACAGGATTTCCATGATTCGCGGCTGCCAATCCTAATTTGCAATACAGTGAATACCAAAACCTTTTCTTAAGAGCTGCCAGCAGGGATAAACCCCTGCAATGTGTCAGAAATGCCAAAATAAATTAGATTTGTGTAAATGAAGCACTTGTTACACAGTCATTTATTCACCATTTACACTGAATTCTATGTTAGGTGGCACTCAGAAAGAAGTACAGGTTTGGTTGTGTCTCTCAAATGAACTTTAATAAAAACTCACTGGGATCAAACCTGTGGCCTCTGGTCTATGATGGCTGTTGAACCACCATGTCACCATGAGCAGGGATGTTACAAGCTGCTTGTAAAGATTGACCTGCTGACCTGGTTGTATTCGATAAACTCCCCCTTCAACACTGTTTAAATTTGCTATATGGTACCAGGGTGACTTAGGTCAGGTCAGGCTTACTCAGTGCAGTTTGGCTTCATATTGTGGTGCCATTATAATTATTTTACACGGACTAAAAACATTCACTTCACACCCCAGTCACACACCCATTACTGACCACTAACATTCAGACATTCACCAGAGTTTTCTGCCCCTTTTACCTTTTAAAAAGGGTGACATGTTTTCAAAATGGCGGCACTTACTTCTACACTAGTGGAGAAGAGGCAGCGTCCGTCTAACAGTGTGTTCAGTATAGCTCATCCACGGCCCAACTCTGGCCCCGTTAACAGTCCGCAGTCAGCAGCAGGGAACTACCAGGAGCTCGTCTTCATTGACACAACTGCTCCCACAGCCGGCACCTTGGCAAACGGAAACATCTCCCGGGCCCTCAAATCTGGTGAGCATTAGGACTGGGTCAAGATGTAACTCCAACAGAGTTTTGTTGTGGGAAAGAGTATTGACATGTCCAGAGATCTTTAAGAAAAGGTTTTGCTCTGGTTTAAGTTGAGCGGTATTTTGGTTTTGAATTCCCACTGAGTGATTCTGTTGAGCCATGGACTCCTTATTTTGTTTTTGAATTACTGATTGTGAAAGGCATTATTTCTTTGTGTTGGGTACACTGATTTATATTGATACCTCTGATTATTGCTGTGTTTATTTGTGTGCATGCAGTGCTTGGATTATTACAAATGATTGGGTTTATGACCAGATTTTGAGAGCTGAGTCATGTATCTCGGGCTGTATATAATGATTATTTTTAATCTAATTTTTAATCTAACAACTAATTTTGTGTATTCTAAAGAAAAAAAAGTTGCGTATTACTCAATTACCATACCAATTTATTCAAAATAAATATCAAAAACATGTCTAATCAATAAATCAATATTTTATTCAATCATCCTGATGAAACACATTAGAATAATGATAGTAGCAGATCTTAAAATGAATCCAATCACTGCTGTGATAATAACAATAACAGACATTAATTAGGCTACTTTATTTAAAACTTTAAATATTTCTGACATGGATTTATTTCAATATTGAGTAATGTAGCATGATGATCAAATGTATTTCTGCATCAGGGTGGGGCAAAGAAGACAACTGAAACCATTCACAGACTGTACTGTTACTGTTGTCTGTAATGTGAGTTTCAGCTGTTTTCCCGCTCAAATATGACTCGCCGTGTAACGTTACGTTACCATGACAGCAGCGGGGCAGAAATTACTTTTAACACGAAGGCAATGAAGAAATACTTCAGCTGCCTTCAGTGCGCCGGGATACCTTCGTTTCACGTGTTCATGCTGCTGCACGTATTCGTGGACAGCAGTTGTGCTGCAGTGAAGCTATTTCCAACTCACAGAGCTCACAGAGCAGCACATTGTTGTGTCTGTCTAAAATACTCCCAAACTTTAGACCAGGGGTATTCAATTAGATTTCAAAGAGGTCTAGTTAGAGAAAATTTCCTGAAGCAAAGGTCCGGAACATCAAAACGACGAACGTTATCATTCAGTACTATAACCTATAGTTGTATCAACACATGTTTTGAGTCAACAACGGACTTCCAAATCAAATAATATTTGATTCACCAAACTGGAGGGATAATAAATAATAACTATTCAAATAATAAATTCTAAATTTAAGTAAACTAAATTAAAGTGCCTAATTTTTAGAAAAAATGTAATAAAAAGTGTAGCTAGAAGTGATGAAGTGTAGTCTTAACCAATTTTATAATAAACACTCAACACATCATAACAAATGAACAGCTGTAATGCCTCCTCTTCTACTTCTACTTCTACTTTCTGTTGTTCAGTGAGAAACTTGAGCTCCAGCTAGCATATTGGAGATCTATGAGATATTCTGGTTTTGAACTGCCCGTGGGAGGAATGTACATGTAAAAATCTGTACATTCTTGATTAAAAGTCATGTGAAATCTCTTTTATCTTTCGTCTCCTCAATTCGGGTGTGTTTCCAAAACGTCTCTGGTGAATCTCGCGGACTCGACTCGCAAGCACTCCCAGCCATACAGGCAATATGTTAGGTTTAGGCTCTGCACAAAAGCAATATGACATTTTATTGCACCACTCTGGCTTCTGCCCCTTTTCTGAAATAGTGAATAACTAATTTTGGAAGATACAGTAACTGCTCTTTTTAAAACAGTCACATTGTATTTGACTCCTTCAGTGTGTTAATAACCCCTGAAAGACCACAATGACACCATTTCCAATTAGCACAGGAACCTCACCGCTGTGTTAACTGTTAACAACAGCTGCTTTCACAGGGCATTTAGTTTCCATCTGGTGGACTTAAAGTTAGTATATTGTCATTTAATCTGATGAAAGCTGTTGAGGCCATTACCTAGCCCACTGTTACATTATCAATTTGATTAATTCAGTGGAGATTGGACTGGTGATTTTTGCATCAGCCATCGGTATGCTTCATAAACACAGTAGGCCTATATGTTGTTCTTGTTTTATCTTTGTTACAGTAGTAGATACAATGACTCAACCTGCTGGGTACAGCTGCCTAAGCTGGTGGAACTGAAGCTAAATAAGAGAGGGAGCAGGAGTTTGGCTGCCTCGCACCGTTATCTATTTCTTGCACATGACTTACACATGAGCCACAGGTGTGCCTTTTTATAGCTGTTTTATATGAAGTGAGCACGAGGGCTGATAGTAGAGCTTAAACAGGACATGATTTCTGGGATCCCCCAAGCTGTGGAGGGGAAAGTTTCATACCTCACCAGGTGGTCCTGAGTTCCCAACAGTACCACAGCATGGAAAGCACTCTCACGTTCCCGTTCCCATCTGCCACCTGTCTGTTTAATCATCTTGCCACTTTTATTGTAGGCTTCTTAATTTAGACTATGCCATTTACATTGGACTGGCTTTTTAAAATTTCATCAATGACCCTCAACCAGTAGAATTCTAAGCCTCCAAATAAACCTCTTCAATCCCTTTCTTGGTCATGTCAAATGTTGATACTATTTTTAATGCAGAGTCACTGCACAATGTATCAGTAGCCCTTTTTAAACAGAGATCCCACAATACTGCTGAGTCACTGCACATTGTATCAGTAGCCCTTTTTAAACAGAGATCCTGCAATAGTGCTGTAGAGAAGATCTGTGATTACTCCGGCTTTGCTTTTTACACTGAATCACACAACGGAGGAATAATGCTGGCATGCTGGCGTTCTGGAAACAAGGGAGGCGTGACATGTATCAGTGTCGGAATTGCATCCTGCTGGCGTTGATTTGGCTCTGTCACTACCTCCGTTGCCGGCTTACGCTTTATACTGAGCATTGAGGCGGAATAATGGTGTGACATTCCCGCCTGGAACAGGCTGTGTAAAAAGGGGCTCCTACTTACATGCTGACCATCTCCACATACCAACAAGTCAAATCACTTTATTTGTAAAGCACATTTAAAGACAACACCAGTGGAACAAATTGCTCTTCAAATTTTTAAGATATGATTATAAAATCTAGATGAAGAAAGTGCCAACAGCTTCAGGTCAGATGATCCCTGAGTCCTGGAGGAGACAACAAACAGAAACCAACATTTGTTCCAGGTTATGTGTCGAGAGGAAAGACTTGTTTTTTGGAGTTTGTATTGCGTCAATGTGCTTCAGCCATTGTTAATCTTGTTAAGCCAGTTTAACCTGACAGTGGTGTCAGGTTTTATGACCTGCAATTTTACTGTTTTGGTCTCTCTCATCAGCGTAGTTTTCAGAAGCAACACCTTATCGCTTTCATCAACAGTGTTTCTGGTCTAGCAACCAGCTGCCACGGCGGAACTTAAGAGCCAGATATATTTCTCAGAAGTTATCAGTGAGCCAATCAGAGCTATACAAAGATTGAATGTGGACTTACATTCATCAGGTGGGCAGGAACTGTGCTCTGTATCTGCTGGGTTTGTAAATAAGCAATTGTTCCCCACATACAGTATGCCAGTTTAGTGTTTACAGCTTGTTTCTGCTGCATCTGAGCGGCCACACAATCAGTTAATGAACCTGTAAATAACAAATTGATTATTTGAGTGATCTTGTACCCTCATTGGTTGAATAAAGACAGACCAGCAGTGTCAGACACTTTGTATGCTCAACTATCCACCTGACCGTCTCCCTTTTAGTGGTGGCATATGCTGTCAATGTGAGTTATCATAAAGATGACTGACATTGCTTCTGCCTGTCTTTGCTTGTAGCTGGGAGATCATTGACCCGGGCCAGGACAGCCGGTCTGGGACTGGACCTCAGCTCAGCGACTCCCTCAAACTCTTCCTCCAGGAGACATCGGCTTTCAAACAGCAAAACCCAGGCAAGGTGAGGCAGAGGCAGCCGACGACCCCGGACTAAGCTCAACTGTAACTGAGTTACTGCAATAAAGCGGAGATGCATGTTGTTATTAGGCTTTCTGGAAGTACTTTATCAGTTCAGAAACATTCAGATTTCATCACTGTGACTTTACATAATGGAGCAGATTCAGGAAACAATGAACCTGTCCTTGCTTTTAAACTGCAATAAATAGTTCAAGTAAGCCTGTTATTAATAAAAATTTAATTAATCTATGCACTTCCAGTTTAAAATTAAGATAAATGGTGAAACATTTTGTGCACAAAATTCAGTGATGAGCGTTAATCGGGTCTAAATATACATAAAATTATGTTTTCCCAAATTCTTATCTAATAGCTTATTAGAAAATGAAGCAACTGGTTGAACTACATGATGCTTTTTTTTTTACAAAACAATTCTTCCATGACCAGGATGACCATGCGTATTAGGAAAATTATATTGTGGTTTTAATGAAAGTTCCTCAAGAAAATGAGTAACATGTAACTGTAAGTTACACTGTAAGTAACTGACACTTACTGTGTACTGTAACTGACAGTAGAAATGTTTGGTGTCATACTCTTCTTGTTTGCTTTCTTTCTCTTCTAGTTTTGCCTGCTGGTTTGCAGTTTTTGCACCTTCTTTGCTGTTTTAGGACGCTACATTCCAGGGATTGTTATCTCATATATTTTAGGTGAGTGAACCAAAGTTTTGCACATGAAGAAACCATTTCTATCATGCTAAAATAAAATGACTCATATGCTCAGACTGGCATGTTCAGTACGGCTGGAGGGTTGCTTGCTGACCTCTAGTGGTAGCTAAGGGACAAACTTATATCACTTATACCATGTAGCTCGCTATGCTCATTGTCGGCACTCCTTTACTTTAAAGAAAATTCCTTCACTCATATTCATATTTTTGGTCAGTAGCAGTGATGTATTGGTAAATGCAAAAAAAAAGATTGATTGACTTTTATCATAGGCAAGTCACCACCAGCCAAGACATGATTGCAATGTATCTTCATAGACAGCAGCAATGTATGCTTTTTCCCACCTGATGAACCTTGTACTCATATTAATAATGTCTAGCGTCATGGAGTCATGACACTTAAATGAGAGAAATACAGTAGCTGTATGTCAACAATGATGAGAGATATCAAAGCTATGAGTAATGTGGCCAGTTCCAGATGTACCCACCCACCTTCTGAGCCTATCAGTAATATATTGTGATTAATAGTATCAAAACTGTATCCCAGCAGTACAGTTAAAGTGACATTCCAGTGTGTTTTTATGGCAGGTAGGTTAATTGTTTTTTTTTCTGGAAACAAACTGATTATCCCTGATTTTCTCTCTTGACCTTTCTCTGCAGTGCTCGGTTTTTTCCTGTGGCCTCTGATTTCATCTCATGAGGTTGGTTTGTGGCTAGAGCCAGTTCTGCAGAAGCTGGACTTTGGCATCGGGGAGTTCCTTCAGAAAATCAAAGAAAACCATGGTAACATATGTCAATATGTTATACGTTTTCATTTTGTCTGCATCATTTGCATTTGATCTGGATACAGTTAGACTCTCATCCATTTTATCACTCGTCAATACTAGCATTACAGATATTTCACATAACATAAAAATATTATTATGCCTGTATAGTAATGTAAAGTTGTTTTCCAACGTCCATAACATTCATAATATTAAGATTTCAGTAAAAAGGTTAATAACTGAATAATTTATTTAATTCTTTAATCCTTTCATAGCAACCTTCTGCTGCTATCAGCATAACTACATTACAGAGGGTCTAGAAGACAGAATTACTAGATTTACTCTGCAGAAAGAAAAATAACATTTGTTTTAATAAACAATATAGAAAGAAACTAGATTCAGTCGATAATGTGACAGCTTATTTTTTACTTTTTGTATTCAGTATTGGACAAGAAAACTACACCAACCAATTTCATGTTTCCTCTCTTTCAGAGAGGAGAATCATGCAGGCTCAGACTGAGAAAGAGGGCATCGAGTCAGACCTCTCTTCCATGTTTCCCAAGGTTGGCTGATCTAATTATGCCTCTGTTGACTTTCAGGGTCCATTTAAGGCTAATTGAAATTTAGTACACATGATCCACATCAGCATCAAGGCCTGTGCCAGAGTGAATGCCAAAAGGATTTGATTTGGACTTGACTGCAGTGTGAGACTTGACTCCCTAAAAACATGACGTTACTTGAAATGTTCTCGAGTAGGGGAGAGCCGGGACAATTGAAACACTGTTCAGATATAAGTCATTTTAAAAGATAATGTTACAGACAGAAATAATTTGTTGTTGTGATCAACAGCTCACGTGTGTACTATCAATACCAGGAGCTATCTTGTAAAAATGTGCAACAACATCGGTTTGATTTGACTTCAAACAAAAGGTGCGCATTGTTTTATTCATAATAAATATAACTTTTAGAACATCAACCGGTTAACGCGCATTCGGATTAGATCTCGGCTGCCCTTTTTATTGTTATCTGCAGCCTGTTTTCCTGATCCACTGTGTAGATCCTATTATTTGGCTGAGTATCCTGGTGGTCTAGCCTGCAGCCTAGCGGACTTTGCCCCCCTCCTGCCGTATCTAAATAAGGTAGCATGGCTACGTGTCAGAACGATTGAAACACCTGTTTCAATCGTTCTGACAGTGACTCCTGACTTTTAAACTTAACTAGCTTCTATACTGTTAAACTTTGACATTAAAAACTTAGTACTAACTAATCTTTCATGTGATCATGACCATTGCACATGAAACAGTAAACACAACTCGTCATTCAAAAAAAATGACGGCTTGAGTGAATTTACTTTCCGTGATTGAAAACAGCTTTTTCCGTATCACTCTGTGAATGTGTGACGTATCTGACGTACCTGATTTTTCACGGTTCTGTAAGTACTGTGGACTGAATGTGCTGAGGTAGTTTGGCATATCACACTTGTATAGGCTCGGAGAAAATCGCAGTGTTTCATTCTTCCCATGTTTCAATCGACCCGGCTCTCCCCTATTATGTATTATGTTATTCATTAGCAGTTGTAAGTGAAAAGTCAAACTGCTATTTCCAAGCTCATTAAGGAACCTTCAGGCTCAACAAAAGTTTTGTTATGACGCATCACATAGAGTTGCCCCAAAAAGACAGCTCTGCTTACTGGTTAAGTTAAACTCTCTGAGCACTGTTTTGTATCCTGTGGCCTTCAAGAATAGTGCGCACAGCAGACACAACAGCTTCATTATATAAATATATTTATATGTATATATTTCAGAAACATCAGTAATGTTTTAGTGAGCATTTAAACCCCTTTCTCTTCCTAATGAGTTGTTTTTTCATAAGCACATCGACACAGTAATGTTCAAATGGGTGCGACATACGTATTTACTGCAGTTTGAAATGTTTATCTCAGGTCATAAATTATTAGATTATTTCTGCTGCCAGAGCAGCTCTGTCTGTGTTTTGCTCTCTAAAATCAAACGTCTCCATGCGTTTCCTTCCGACAGCTCGACTCCACAGTGTGTAAGGAAATGTCTGTATCGGACACAGAGGTGTCTGATGTGACGTGGACCGACAACGGTACTTTCAACCTGTCAGAGGGACACACACCACAGACTGAGAACTCAGAGGGTAGGTTTGTCAGCTCCACACCGTCCTACAGATGGACACGCGGTTTGAAAATAAAGATGCTGGATGTCTAGAATGGACTTTAGAAACATACAGGCACATCTGAATAAACAGCTGTTTTTGAAATTTTGCGCTTAAACAGTACAGATTTGAAGGACAATAAGCTCACTGCTTTAGTTTCTGTTTTATCAATACCCACTTTTTTCCCTCACTTTTATTTGCTCAAGATTCAGTAATGTAGTATATATTAAATATTATATCAACGTTAGAAATCCCAGTGTTAGAACTCCAGAGAAACAATAATACATTATACTGGACAGATGCTGTGCTTGCTTCTTTTTTATATCTTGGCCTCTTCTTATTAAATTTGAAACATTTTAATTTACAATTTTACCATAGCTTATCTTTCATGTCACCTCAACCTCACAGACCTCGACAGAGAAGAAGCGTTCACTGGGGGCCTTCCAGATTTCCCCTCGCTTGACAACGGCGCAACAACCAATGGCGACGACGACGACGATGACCTCAGCCTCGGCCTTCCCTCGCCTCCACCTCAGCCCCAGCAGCCATTCAAATCCAAGCATACAACGTTTCCTCACAAAGACCAAGCCACCGACAAAGCCCTGGAGTTAGTAAACCAGATGGCGGGCGACGTCATCGCCGCTGCTGTCACAGCCGCCATCCAGGAGAGAATAGAAGCAGCGGTCGGCTTCACGGCGCTGAGCGAAGACTCGGAGGGGCCGAGACTCCCGAAGTCCAACAGGCTGCTGGATCTGGACGAGGAGTCGGACAGCGAGGTGGAGGACTTTGAGCTGTTGGACCAGTCGGAGCTGGAGCAACTGGAGGGGGAGCTGGGGCTGGGAGAGGAGAAGACCAGGGCCAAAGAGAAGGCTCAGGCCAAGAGTGACAAGCCGGCCTCTTCTGGATTCTTGTCCACACTCCTGAGACGCCACTGATTGATGAAAAGTACGATGGGCAGGGGAGGAGGATGGGTTACACAGGACATGTGGAGGGAGATGGGGGTGTTCTAGGTCACAGAGGATTGTTGGAGGTTGTAAGAAAACATTGTTTCCATTTATCTTTTTCCTGTAAAGCTAACATCAACTTTTCAGAACAGTTTGTCAGATATGGAAGTGGAAGTGATTTCCCTTTAGTCAGAATCATCCTAACCTAATGTTGAGATCAGACTACACAAAACCCAGATAATAGCCTGACCCCACAGAAAGTGGGAACGGAAAATGAGCGTTGTGTATCACTGTTGCTTGCTGTATGCTGTGTAGCATGTGATAGTGATAGACAACTGATGCAGCACCTGGGACGCCAGTACTCACAACGTCCTGACCAAAAGACAACTGCATCATTCCTTCTCTCGCTGAGTTAGACAACACTAACGACATGTCCTGTGACGATGAGGAAAATACAGAAACTGAAAACATGGAGTGTGCTTTTGCTTGTGCAGTCTGAATATTTACTTATTTTTGGTTCCTTTTTGCGCGCCCTCAAAAGTTTTTGCCTGTAGGCCTGCTGCCCAGCAGCCAGCTCAGAGCATGTTTGAGTAGCCTACTGCTCAGGTCGCAGGTGTTATATTAACGTGCCAGGCTGGGTCGGGTCCTCAATTGATTTTGATATAATTGCAGGTAACGGGTCAATTAGCTTGGGGTTGCAAAACTGGGGTCATGCAGGACTCTGGACAGAAGATGAAAAATGTCTTCCTGTTTAGCAAATTTGTTAAAATGTTTTTTTTAAAGATATGTAGGATGCTAAATCTTGTGTCCATGGCACCTTACTGATCACCTACTGTGTGTAAGCAAGCTATTAGACATATTGTGTAGTCTGATCCTGGCATAAAGGGTTGTTGATGGTTTAAGGACTAAAGGCCTACTCTTGGTTTCAATCAATTACTGTGGTTACAGTTTTCTTTTCAAAGCAATTTTTATCACCTGATCACATTTGATTGATGAGAACAATTTTGCATTTATAAGCAGCATATAAACACTTATAGGGGTATTAACACACTATTACTTAGTTGGAAGCAACTATGGACTTTTGTTTATTAATGTATTTGTGAACAACTATGGCTTTAACTGGCATCTGTAACTGTTGTGGATGAAGTATAACACACAAGAGCAAATCCTCACTGGCACGTTCAAAAGTGTTTAGAAAACACAAGGTCTGCTTACTTAAAATCTTGGCGGATGCAGTTTGATCAGTTGGAAAGAGTGTAAATAAAGTATTAATGAATATACAATAATGAATATACTGAATAAATATAATTAATTTAACAATTAGTAAATATAATAAAGATATATAATTAATTGACATACAATGAGTAAATATAATTCATATTTTATACTTTGTATTCAGATAAATATGAGTACATATTTTACATGATTACATGAACTATGTTTTTATTAATTATAATATATGTTCAAACTTAAAATTACCTTAGTATCTGTTTCCATCTAAATTATATTTTGTTGCTTATAAATAAATGCTCAACATGGGGTTCTTGAACCTCCCAAATAAAGTATTCAAAACTGAAATTGATCTTCTCAACAACCTCAGAGTAAGACAATAAGTAACAAGAAAAAAATGAAACTCATATAAACAAAAACATGTCTTAAGACTTAAACATCCCCCAAAACAAAATTACCATCATCCCAAAATTGTATTGAAAGGCATTGGTTACTGGTAAAACTGCAGCAAAATGCAATTTTACCAGTAACCTGAGGTGATATTTTGGGGAAAGCAAGCCATAAGACTTCCTGTTATATATTATTAATTAAATTAAATATTTATTACAAATGATTGGTTTTAGTTGTAATGTGTAATGTAGACACCTCAAAACACATCTGACACTCATGTTGACGCTAGATTGATTCATTCAACTACATTACCCAGAACACCACAGACATCGAATTGACAATCACTAGGCAATTAAAACAACTTTAATGCTCAAAATACTACTGGTTACTGCTATAACACTAGTTGGACTGTTGACTATAAGGATTGAAAAGTAGTAAAACCTTTTTTAATTTTATATGTATGTTTTATTTTTCATGAAACATTTATATAGTTGTGAGACTTTTATTTTATTACAACATGATGCCGGTTTCAAAATACTATGCATGGAAATGTCATTTTAAGACATAAATATATTTAATCATTAAAACATTTTAACTTCCAGTGCTTCAAGCTCACAAACTTCACGTTGCTCATTGTGGTCGTCAGTGGGCATAAAGAAAAAGGACTTTGCATCCGTATCACCCGCTAATTTGTCGTAATTGCAAGCCAAATTTAGATTTTCATATGTCAAATGTGGTCACTAATCTAAAACACAGCAGACTCACAGTTTGCTGGTGGCTGGTTCGAAAGGCTCAATCGACATTCAGTGGATGTTTTTCAGAGAAATATCTCCCAACATAAACAGATTCAGGCGTTAGAGTTAGAGCTCCACCACTGCTCAAAACTCACAAAAAGGAGTTCCAGCCTGAGGGGCATCTCATTTTAAAATCCCGGCTATTTCTGGCTTCATCACTAAGACGAAAGTGAAATATCCTACTTAAAGCTGCATTAAGCAAATGTTGACACATAGGGGGCAGAAAGATTCTTCAAACCAGTGACCACTTAGCTTACCAAAAACCTAAAAATCCACCATACACCGTAGGTATTGTCACAAGTGGTGCTGCTAAAATGTTTTGTTGTTAGGTCAAGGGGGTTTAACTAAACTAAACTTTATGGCTGCAGCGACTAACACAACATACCTGAATGCCTCGATTGCCAAAACAAAACTACTGTATGTTGAATAAACATAAGGGTTCAGGTAGCCGTGGTGGCCCAGTGGTTGAAGCACTGAGCATGAATCATGAATGAACATCCTGAACAACCTTTGACAGCCAGACTCCGAAACAGACTTGATCCTAAATGTGCACAGCCTGAACAGAGAACACCAACTTTGCACCTCACAGTTCACACTCAACCTCTAAAAACACAGTTTTCATTCCAGTGATGATGACATACTAAATTATCTGAGCTGAGAGAGTCGTCTTAAATTCACTTGGACAAGACCTGCAGCAAGAGAACGGGATTCTACCTGATCCGTTTAGACTGAATATAATTGGGACCCAGCCCGACTCAAGTCCCTAGTCAAGTCTTTGCTGCTGGGAACCAAGCTAAACCATGGAGACCTCTGCTCCAAGTCGTAGGATGATCCAAAACTAGACTCAAAGTAAAATTTAGCTTTATTATTTAATGATGCACCTACATAGGACAGTCTGCTGTCAGACATCAGTCAGGGATTCAACGAATCAAGATGAAGACTGACTGAACTGTTTCTTCAACATGCCTTGTACATTAAAATACAGTGATTTTATAATAAAGACACAGAGCAATGTAAAATGTATCCTCTTGAATTCATCATGTAATGCCTTGTATCAGCATAACTCTACAGAAGATAGTAATATTTGTTTATCAGTGCCTTTGTAGTGGCTGCAGTTCATTTCTAGCTCACGTGTAATAACTGTATAAAACAAAGAAATGCTCCAACTGTTGAATAACAGTTCAGGCAGGTTTACTAAGCAAAGACCTTTTTAAATATTTAGTAAACTGATAAAATTCACGTTTTTCATTCACATTCTGGTTGTATCATGGTGGCTTCCAGGCCATTGTCTAAAAGTGAGAAATCCTTTGATTCAAAAACATGTTGTTGGGTCACAACCAAAATGCTTTAACAAAATGTGCATTTATGTAATTAAACTTAAGAATGTCAATAAAATGTTGTAACACAGTCTGTAGTTTCCTTTATTAGACCTCAGTGTGTGTTTGTGAACTCAGCTATTGTGAACATATATGGTATGGGAATATAAACCTGTGTACACAGTCACATTGTGCAACTTTGGCACCTTTTAGGGAGAAAATCCAGGTCCCCACAACCTAAATTATTACATTTTAATTCTTGATTTAAGGTCAGGGTTAGGGTTAGGCATAGGTCAGGATTAGTAGGGAATACATTTAAGTCATTGCAATGTCCCTTTAAGTAATGATTCTCTGGCAACATGAACTCAGTCTGTATTTATTAGCAGTAAGCAGTAAGATAACTAAGTACATTTATTAAAATATTTTATTTACATGTACAGTCTTTACTTGTGTACTTCCATTTTCTGCCACTTTCCACTTTACTACTCCACTATTATTACTACACTTATTACTAGATTACTCTATTTTTCTTTATTTACTTTTCAGATTAAGATTCGGCATACAAAAAGTGATCAAATAAAATAAGACACATATTATTAGATAAAACAACCCAACATGATATAAAATAGTAAAGTAGTTGACATCATTAAAGTGCTGCTTAAACAATAATGCATGAATAAGCATAATAATAATAATAATCAACCACCAAAGGGTCACTCTTTTATCTATTGAGGACTTTTGGTAGTTTATGAACATTTTCCTGATAATACTTCTATAGGCCTAGTTCTCAATACTTCTTTCACCACTGTTTACCAGCCACATGGGGGTGCTATAATTTAAGATAAAAGAACTATGATATTATCCAATTACAATTCACACTACCTGGCCAAAATTAAGTCACACATGCAGTTGGCTCAGTGGGTTTCATAATAGGTCCTGACATTGGAGCAGCTGAAAGAAACTTATCACTGATAATTAAGATTTTCAAAAATGTTTTACTTTTACACAAGTCATTAAAATGCAAACTAGTCAAACTGTCCACATGCTGTGAATTTCAAGGACCCAACACATCTGCATCCATTCAGTAGTTGAGATAATTCACTTTGGTGAAACGGACCTTCTGACTGCAACAGACAGACTGGCAATGCCGTACTAGAACAACGCTTCTAAACCTTCACTTCTAAACCTAAACCATATAAATGCAATTGAGTAGCATCATCTGGTAAATATATTTGTTTGCAGTAAAAAGATTTGTCTCCTGAAAAGGTGGGCCAAGCAGTAAAGAGGTCAACACCTTTTTCTAAATGGTTTAATGAGTAATAATGAGTGAAAAGTGTTTCCAAGTTAATGTGTTTTTCTATATTTATTTGTCCTATTCTGCACATCAAAGCATGAAAACTATCTCCTGTGCCAGGCACACAGGACATTTTCTGACCGATCATCTTGAAAGAGTTTTACTTCGTATTGTAAACAAAGCATAAAGACTCTGTCTCTGCCAGGCCAGTCATCTTTCTGGAATGAAACAAAGCCTGATAAACACTCTCCTTTCTGCTGTATTTTATTGTTCTCTCTTGTTCAATTATCTGACAGTTAAGATGGGTGTTACCAACATGTGGACCTGACAGGTCACATTCACTGTATATGCCAGTGAACAAACACAAAGGAAGAAATAACTGCATTATTTTGGATCAGAGCTTCAACTAGTTTCAGTTCTAGGAAAGTTGCCACTTAGTGTTGACAATTTGAATTGAATTTTTAGAATTGAAATCTTTATTTCGAACATGTAAGAGACAGTACCCTTCTTTCCTGTGTTAACATACATCACTTGTGTGAAAAGAAGTAGGAAGAAGTAAAACTTATGTACTCCTACCCCTTTAATTCTTACATTCCTTCCATTGACATTTTTTCTATTATTATTATTATGTTTATATACATTTATATATATACACACATTTTATGTACACAATATTAGAGTGACCACTGAAAATCATTTGATTCACATGGCATTTTCACAGCAAGGTCCACACTCCTACTGCTGCACAATATAATTAGCGGGTGTTGTCAAGCGCCACCCAGGGGACACAGGATGTGACGTTTAAGTCCTTCGTGACCACTCCAATGCGTGCGACAATTCAGTGCGCCTCTGGACCTGCGGCCGCTGCAGCGCAGCATGTCACGCCCCAACGCGCGTCACGGCACGAGGGCCTGCCCAACACTGCTTGCAGCTTTAATGACCAGAGCATTTCTTTTGCTTCTCCTGGACCCCATATCGTCCTGCCTGTTTGTCATCAGACTGGGCAGATACACATAGGAAGAAAAGCAGACAGTGCAGAAATTAAAGAAATCTTTGGAGAGAAAGCAGACAAATACAGCATGGTTCTCTTACCCTTGGTGACCTGCTCAAAGGGAAGCCTATTGTGGTGTTCCTGAGAGACAATGAAGACCTGCAGGAACTTGTGGACAGATGTATCAGCAAGTACCATGTCTTCAATAATAATGATCTGAAGGATCATTCTCAGGTCAGTGAGCTGCTCAAAAAGATCAGAGAGATAACAGAGAAGAACGGAGGAAGTCATTACACCACTGAAATGTTCCAGAGGGCAGAGAAGGTGATAGAAGAGAGGAAACAATAAATTCTTACAGAGAAACAAGAGCAACTTTTCAAAGAGCTAAGGAAACTAAGTAACAAAATAAGGGAAAAGTATTAGCAACTAATAAGGAACGTGGAGGATGACATGAAGGAGAATCTATTAAGGGCAGCTTGTGAAAGAGAAATGGAAAAGGAAATAAAAAAGCTGAAAGAAATGTATGAAATGTTGGCCAGACAGGAAGCTGATGCCTGAATTACATTTCCTAAATGGTTTGTTGAGGTTTTAGAAAGAGACTAGAACCACAATTCAAAGGGCAGGCAACACCATGTGCACTGTATTTGTATTTAAAATAACTGAATGCATTTCTAGTAAATGCAGATGGGATGGCAAACAGGGTTTGCTGTTTACATATTGAACCATGAAACCATGCAGGAGGACTGGATATTCAAGATGTGGTAGGTTATAAAAATAAAATGGGACAATCAAGGGCGTGGATCATTCAGTCAATCAATGAATGGGTGAAATAAAACATAACATGTGAAATTAACCAATAAAGAGAATCAGCTCACACACAATTGTACAAAATCCTTAAGCAAAAATCTATCTAACTTGTTGTAGGAAACACAAAGTTGAGGCTCAACAGTAGGTTCTGACTGGATTAGCACCACACTGACTTAACAGCAGTTATCACAGAGCAAAATGAGGTGAAAGCTGTAGCTGACTGTAACTGTCAGTTGCATGCAACAATTCAATTTGAAGGTGTCTGTCTGATCAGCCTGATCTCATCTCAGGTGTCATATACTCATGTTTGACAAAGAGTAGTTATTTCACGCAAAAGGTATCCTTCGGCGTGTGTAGGAGACGTCCCAGGTGTATCGATGTAACCTACAAACTCCATTCAGAAGCATACATCTACATGACGATTCAGTCGATTGAGTCTCCATCTCAGGTGACTACATTTCTCACTGATTTCTGAATTTTGAAAATAATCATTAGTAGCATTCCTTTTCAGAATAGAGTGGACATTTTTCTGGATTAAGTATGTTACTTTTAATACTAAGTACATTTTCATGATAATACTGACATACAGTACTTTAACTCAAGTAACGTTTTCAAAGCAGGACTTTTTCTTGTAACAAAAGTATTTTTTAAAGTGTAGCATTAGTACTTTTACTTAAGTAAAAGTATCAGAATACTTCCTCCACCTCTAAAAAGTCAAACTGACTTGACTAGAAAAAGTGAACAGGCCAGAACAGGACGTTGAGCAAAAACTCCTCCTTAAGCTCCTCTTGTTCTATGAATTAAAGCAGGATTTAATACAAATGATAGCAAATGACTCAAAGACACAAACTGTGCTGTCAGTACTATCTCATTTAGGATGATTATATAAAACAGCCTGTGAACTAAACACAAAAATACGTCGTCATTGTATTCATGGGTGTGGTTTGTTGCATGAAGCTTTAATGAAAGAAGCATTGTTGCATTCAGTCTCTTAACTTTCGGTCTTTACTTCACTATAAGGCAACACATTTGCTCTCTACAACCCAAACATGGCAAGCCTAAGTACAGAATATGGTAAGTCAATATGCAGCTATATTTATAATAGTCCTGATGTATTGGTGACTCAAGTGACATCCAGGTATGCTTCTTTTTGCAGACTACACCTTTACACATTATATGCCAATCAAGCCTCATTTATAAACTCTTTTTTAGTCTTTTGTGTGCTCAGTTTTGCTATCATATTTTTTACCTGCCTTTGGTGTTTTGTATTTTTCATCCATTTATTTCCTTATAATTTCGTTGCTTTAATTTTTTACTGTGTTTCCATTTGAGACCTAGATCATATTGCTAAATATACTGATCCTCTCAAGACTGTTAACAGCATTTTATGATAAAGGCTTCCGAATGCATTTTAATACAAACAAGCTATATTTTTCAAGCACAAACTTGAACCACATTACACCCATCTGGGAATGATGTGCCCTACTAATGAGTTATAATGTGTTAGAGGTAACACGCTTTCGGTACCTTTAGGAACAGTATAACGAGTCGATCCTGTTTTTATTTAACATTGTCAAGAACAAATAGGTATAAAGTCTTTTGTAATGGGACCAAAATTGTATCTGTTGTCATACTTTTCACACTGTCTAACATTTACTGGGCACCATCCATCACAATTGTATAAATGTCATATCAAAAGAAAGGCATGTATTTTGTTTTCATTTCATCTTCATATCTTATCTCATTATGGAGTTTTATACTCAATAGAGAGTGTGCACCTGTGACAATTTGCCCTGTCAGCTGGTAAGTTGTCACACTGGATTGTCAAAAACTAAGAACACAATTACTAATTTCTTATGGTTGGAGCTGATGTGAGCAGTGGGGTAGGAACGACAGCATAATTATGCAAATTTCTGCATAATTCAGTCAATCAATGGACAGATAAGGCTTGTGGTTATCCAAAAGGAGTAAACAGGGTTTCTCATCTCAGCACTTTGCATATCTTTCATCCATCCAAAGGGATTTCCCCCTCTGCTGCCAGCTGGCCTGTTGATCAGGAACTGATTGTGGAAGTTGGGTGGGGTGAAAATAAGTTTCCCACATAGGGGCGAACTTTAGCTGGTGTGCCATAGCCAACTGCTAGTCAAATCTTCTCTTGTCAACAGACCAAAATTAATGTTACAAGACTTGGTGTGATATAAAGTGATATTGAATAAGCAGCTTCTCCCAATTAGGTGAAAAAATCTCCAGTGGCTTTGTATAACCAATCATTGTTGTTACGTTTGGCTGTCTGACTTCTTTTCTGGTAATCTTTTAAAGAGGTGGTATTCTGCTTTTTGGCTTTTCCCCTCTCCTTTATTGGGTTATCTCTCTTTTTTGTGCATGTAACAGGTTTGCAAAGTGAAAAAGCCCAAAGTCCAGCCCAAAGGGAGTTCCCATCTCCCACAGAAAGCACTGCTCTGAACCGCTTGAAAACAGCTCGTTTGTAGTCCAGCCCTTCACTTCCTTTACTTGTGACATCACAATGAAAACGCGTCATAAGCTTGCCAAGCGGCTAGCGGGGTCAGCCACGCCCTCAAACCAAGCTAGTCTGAGCAGAGGCCCTTTGGCTCGACTCGCCTTTGTTTGGTTTGTAGAAATGTTGGACCTGTACCTGCTTCCAGGTACTTTTTTTCGTATCACCTCACCTCCATCGAGGTTCCAAGCGAGCTGAGGGATACTAAAATGTAACGTGAAAACACGACAGACTGCTGATTGGTCAGAGAGAATATTCACTATTCACTGCATCATCACTGCTGCACCAGACAGAGGCGAGTAACAGAAAGTTTTATATTTTACATTACATGAATTTTACATTAAATCAGCTGTGTAGATTAGAAATCTTCACAGCTGATTTACATTGACATTTTTACGAGAAGTGATGGTGGAACAAAAATGAGTTGAGGAGCTCCGCAATAGGCTGTGGGGGAAGCCTGTGCCAACCTGCAGGAGGAGCGTGTGAGGCCGCCGGCTCACAGAGTCCTCTGCTCCCGCCGTCACACAGACCGCTGCGACACACCTACCGGCCACACAGGACCCTGACCAGCAAGGCAGTACACAGCCACCCCCATTAAGTGATAAAGTTGATCAAGGGGAACCAGAGAGATTGGAATTGTGTCAATTTTTTTTTTTTATAGCAGACATTTTCTCCATGCTAATGTGATCTATAAGGTGATTCCGATATTGGGTGATACTTATATTCTTTTTGGCCTTCCAGTTCATGAGGATAGTTTTCTTGGCGATGCATAAGGCAGTGAGAAGCATTTATGATGTATCAAGCGCTATACTAATGTCACTTAGGTCCCCCAGCACGCAGAGTGATGGGGAACTTTGGACGGGGTAACTTAGCCATATCGATAGGTCTTCACATATCTTCTGCCAGAACTTTTGAACAGGTGCACATTGCTACATAGCATGCATGTAACTATCAGATATGTTACCTGAGCAGTTCCAGCAGATGTTTGACTGCATGAGTTTGTGCATTCTGAACATCCTTTGTCCAGTATAGTGTGTTCTATGGAGAGTTTTATACTGTATAAATTGTAGATTGGGATTTGTAGTCATTCTAAAGGTATTTAAACATATCTGCATCCAGAAGTTTTGGTCTGGACTAATGGATAGATCTGATAATCATAATGATTATTTGAATGAGCGGTTTTGGAGCAGGGAGGTCAGACAGGCAGGACACAGGGTACTCCAGTAGAGGTTTGGGAAACCTGATCCAACAAGCGCTGCATTGGCTAATTATTAATTCATTTACAGAACCACAAAGGTCTTCTGTGGAACTGCATTGAACAAAATACATAGAGTATGAATTGTGTATTCTTGTTTTTCAGTCTTTCCTCAACCTAGAACAACCTACAATAATGAGGAGCTCAGGATTGTGATGGTGGGAAAAACTGGCGCTGGGAAGAGCGCCACAGGAAACACCATTCTGGGGAAACAGGTCTTTGAATCATACTTCTCTGCTAAATCTTCGACTGATAAATGTGATAAGGTCTTTGGTGAGGTTGATGGACAAAAGGTTGCTGTTGTCGACACTCCGGGTCTGTTTGACACCGGAATTGATGAAAAGAAAAGAGTTAAAGATATTGCCCAGAGCATTTCTTTTGCGTCTCCTGGACCCCATATCTTCCTGGTCGTCATCAGACTGGGCAGATACACAGAGGAAGAAAAGCACACAGTGCAGAAGATACAGGAAATATTTGGAGAGGAAGCAGACAAATACAGCATGGTTCTCTTTACCCATGGTGACCTGCTCAAAGGGGAACAGATTGAGGAGTTCATGAGAGACAGTGAAGACCTGCAGGCACTTGTGGGCAGATGTAATGGCCAGTACCATGTCTTCAATAATAATGACCCGAAGGATCGTTCTCAGGTCAGCGAGCTGCTCAACAAGATCAGAAACATAACCGAGAAGAACGGAGGAAGTCATTACACCACTGAAATGTTCCAGAGGGCAGAGAAGAAGATTGAAGAGGAAAAACAACGAAACCTTATAGAGAAACAAGCACAAATGAGCGGAGAGCTGGAGGAACTGAAAAAGATGGTAAAGGTAATGTATGAGAAACAGATAAGGGAGGCTAAGGCTGACAGGGAGAGGGAGACATTAAGGGCAGCTCATGAAAACAAAATGGAAGAGGAAATAAAAAAACTAAAAGACATGCGGGAAAGGCAGGCCAGACAGGAAGCTGAGAAAAGCCCTTCAATACTCGAACTGTTAGCTGAGCTTATTAAACAAGTGTTATTGTGTTATGGCAGCAATTTTCCTGTCAAATACCTGAAATAACTAGCTTCTGTGACCTATTAATGTTCACGTTCCAAATTTTGTTTTTCCCATTTGGCCTGATTTGTAATAATAGCAGTTACATAATGCATATTTTATTACATACAAATTGCTGTTAGATTTTTATGTGTAATATTCTTTTTACAAGATGTAGTCCTCTCCTTTCAAGAACTTGCTGATGTTCTCCACATCATAGTTTCAACTGTTCCACCAGTTAAATGCTTTTAATGTAAATCAGTAGCTGTAGGATCAGGTTGCATGAGCAGCTACTTAACACACCTCTGACACCGCTGCAGGAGAGCTGGATAACAAACTGCATCTTTTTTAATGAATCCACTGTGTGCGCGCGTGAATGCAATTTGAATTGCATGCAGCAAAGGTGGACTCCACACCACTAACAATGAAAACTTAAAACGGCTGATACAAAAACAGAAAACTAAGTTGAGGTTGTGGTGACTTTAAACCCAGTAGCACATGCTGGCAAACAGCTATTCAAACAGCTGGCTGACCTTTTGAAAGCTAAATTCAAAAATTAAACTAGAACTCAGTGTGGTGCACAATATTCATAGCAACATTCTTTGATTTTCTCAAAAAAACTTTCATAGGTTAAGGTGAACCCATGTTCCTGGCTTACTGCCTTCAATCTAAATAACTAGCGTAAACCATTTCTTATTTGCTCACCTTTCTTTTAAAATAAATTAGTTAGCAGTTTGCTTTCGAAAGAACCAAAAAAAGTTGACTTTCAAAATTTCAAAGGTATAGGATGTCACTTACAGTCACCTGGACACCTGCTCTCTTTACAGCATGGATCACAACTGAAATACATCTTTGGCTTTGTGTCATCCTTAATATCTTGTTAGAGGTTTAATGTCATCTGCTTCATAATGTAATCTAATAAACCAACCTAAAATTTCACAGGTGTTAATAATTGTATGTGATAAATGTTTAGTGGTGCCACAGATTGTGAAGAATATGTTGATATGGTGATCATAAAATAAAACTGATAATAAATGAGCAATTCTTTACTGACATCATTCAGAGATTGAGTCTATAAAGACAAATGTTATTGTTCAATAAAGAAAGTTGTGCAGATAAATCTTTATGTATTTGAATTTGGTGATCCACGCTGTCTTATTATTGGTTGTAATACTTTCTAGGTTTTCATTAATTATTAGTTTAGTTTATTGTTGTCTGTTAGTGGGTTGGTTAGTTGGGTTTGATAATAGTTTTTCTATTTTTTAAATTTATGTCTCACTCCTCTTTTGTTATGTAGTTATTGTGATATATGTTAGGACCCATCAGAAATGAGATGGTGCATCTCAAGGGGTGTGATGTCCGTACTAGCAGCCACACAAGGAAACAATAGCACATGGTGGTAACCTTTCAATCTAATCATTTTTTGGTTTTAGCACATTACACACACTGCAAATATAAATAACTGGACTGCACACATATTTTGGTTTCATAAACACACAGTTAGATTAGCTATCTCTGAAGGAAGTTATCTATTTGTGGTGCACACATTTAGTCAACTTTCCTTGTCAATTTTGCTGATTTTTTTAGGTTCATTGTCTTTGTTCATTATTTTCTGTGAAATTAATAAATTTTCCTTACCAGTTCCTGGGGTTTTCTGCCGGAAGTGTCTGGCTGGTCAACAAAAGCTCTCCTAGTAGAATCATCTGATGCTTAAATAGTGTTGATGGAAAATTGGACTCTACCATGTTCTCCTGCATCATGGGGAGAGGCAGCGTTTTCCAGTCTCAGTTTATTGTTAGATAGATGATAGAAACCTTAAATTGTAAATTGCATCAGTTACAGCTGCAGACTATAAAATAGAACACAAGGCAGATACAAATAACAACACTACAGACAAGACACTATACATAAGGGAAACCATACAATACTAAAAAGAAACTTTGCGAGTAAAAAAGTGGAATAAAAGTTGTACAAAAGTAGTCCTATTGGACTAATACAAAAATAAATACTACACAGACTATGCAGAGTATATATAATAATATATTGCACAAAGTGGATAAAGCAATGGCAAGACAGAACACAGCAACAAGACACAAGGTAGTTAAACTGCATTGGCAAGCTGTTTTGAAGAAGCACAAAGAAACAGGCAATGTTGAGGACGAGGCAATGGTCGGCCAAGGAAACTTACTGCAGCAGATGAAATCATACTTATTTCCCTTCACAATCTGAAGATGTCTGGCAGTGCCATCAGCTCAGAGCTGCAGAAAACAGTGGGACCCTGGTACACCCATCTACTGGCAGCATGTTCTCTGGACTGATTAGTCAAAATTTTAAACATTTGGCCGCAGTAGTCAGTTGTTTGCTGAAGGGCCAGAGAGTGATACAAAAACGAATGTCTGCAGGCAAGTAAAGAAGAGTGGAGGAGTTTGGGGCTACATTTCTGCTAACCAGGGGGAAAAACATTGGATTGTTGCATTTTAGTTATTAGCTGAGTCATGTTCACTCTGAGGTTTTTAAGAAACAAGAGGATTAAATGTGAAGTTATACAGACTGACTGGCAGTGATGGGCACAATGTATTTTAAAATAAGATACCAAATACCATAATTTTGTATAAAAATAAACTACAAAATACAGTAGCCACCCCATGTATCAAATTGAACTGCTGTATTTTTGTATTTCAAAATTGCTAAATATACTTTACCTAGGTGCCATGAAATCACTTCGCAAACCATTTATGATCTATCCCTTCACTAGTACCCTGACTCAGTAGATTGAGTGGGCAGTGTTTAAGAGCAACTACTTTTCCCAGGCAATAACTTACAAATGCAACCATTTAAGTGGTGCTATTTAGCAGAGTTTCAGGACCACACATCAACCACGTCATCGCCAGCATTACCATAAATACCCACACATCCTAACTCCACCCCTTCGCTCTCGTATCCTGCATCCCTCCCCCCCACCCCTTTCTCTGTCCTGCCTCCTGATCTTTTTCCTCTCCATAGGATTATAAGGGGGTCCGTCGTGCCCGGGTGCTACGGCTGATTTCCCTATCGTAGCTTCCCCACAACGCTTTCAAATGTCTCTCGCCAACTGCAAGACGTACATCTTCTGTTTCGATCATCAATAAATCATTTAATCATACCTTTTGATTGTGTGGTCCTTGCTGGTGAATGTTAGGTTGGAATAGTAGCAGCACTCAAATGCAAGACTCAGTACACAGAGGCGGAAATGGCAAGATGTAACAAGGTTTATTCATAGACAGTATGTTACTGGGCCAAACCACCCCGAGGGTTTCAATGGAGAGCAGTGAACAAAATATGCAGGCTAGAAGCGAGACTGACTGAGCAGTATAGTCTACAATCTGGCCATAAGTTGCAGGGATGACCAGTGTTATGCCAAATTTTGCAGGCCTGCTGAGAATTGCATGCACCTCCAAATACTGCTTTTAAAATCATATTCTTTGTGGGGTTCAGCAATGGTGATAAATGATTAGAAGTATATGTTTAATGAGGAGTGGTGATGGTGCAGTGGATAAGACACATAACTTTGGTGTGAGACCTGGATTCAATAACCCACTGTGACACGTCCACCAATGTGTCCCTGAGCAAGACAATTAACCAACAGTTGCTCCAGAGGCGTGTGAACAAATGTAATGTCATGAACGTTTAGAGTCGTAAATACTTTATTACATAGAAGAAGTACCATTCCTTGAGATTCAACAAAATGTGCACAACAAAGTGTCTGAAAAGGACCTTGAGAGGTGATGGATGCATAATTCAGCAAAACAGATGGTGAAGCCTACCTGCCGAGATTTGCATCCACCTCTTTTGTCAGCCTCCTGCGAGCTGCATGCAATTCTCGGCAGGCGTGCAGAATTCGGCACAACACTTGTGAGATTATAGAGAGCCTAAGTCACTTGCTTCCGCTTACCTTATTTTGGAAAACATATGTATGGTAGTCAATGGCAAGAGACAACTTATTTTTTGATACTGTTTGAACTGTGCTCTGAATGAACACATATGATGTTTGTCAATTTAAAAGATAATTTTGTCCGTCAAGAAAGTTGCAGTTTGTCGTAAATCAGTAACATTGCTTGATGTTTTGTGAGAAAACCTTTCACTGAACTACATCTCTTGTCTCGCACAATAACGCTGTAATGCTAGCTAACGTTCACTACTTGGTTGCTGCTAGCATGATAACTTAGCGTTGTTCCATGCAGAAATATATCTCCCCTGAACTCTCGGCTTTTATTACATCGTCCTCTCATGTAAGTTCTTTCAGCGACTTTTGGGTTTGTGGTCTTTGTTGTTATGTATTTTCACAGTCTTATACTTCAGCAGTTTTACGTACACATTTTACATACATATTTTTTCTGAAGTAAGGTCCCATGGCAGTCCACCGGAAGGGGAGGGACTTAGGCTCTCTATACATGGGGGGACTTGATTGTGATGAGGAGCAGCTGGGACCTGACTCTTGTGCTCCTGGCTCCACTCCTGCAATGAAGCACAGACACACTCAGGGCTCAGGAGCAAGAGTGGGTTGCCTGTTAATTGGAAGGTTGGCGGTTCAATCCCCGGCTCCTCCAGGCTGCGTGTGTCCTTGGGAAAGATACTGAACTGAGTGAATGTTAGTTTCTGTTTGAGCATTTAGGCTCAGTGTATGAATTGATCACAAAGACTAGAAAGACGCTGTACAAATACAGAGCATTACATGTACATTCACACAGAGAGATACATGGGGAGGGAGAGAGAAGTGTGCTCACAGGGCTGCAGAGGCAGTGGACCTGACAGATCAAATATGCACATATTTTGAGCGACTTTTTTTGCATGTTTGCAATTGTGGCCCATACATACTGGTCCACTTTGTAGGACAAATGCAAACAAGTTGTGGCATGATCTGTGATTAGGTCGCATTTAGAGTTTCATTCTCAAAATGCCTGCATTATTAAATGACTTAATACCCGCTGTCTTACAAGATCTTCACATGCATGACCCTCTCTAGTCTGCTGGCATGAACATGATGGTGCTCCATGATGTACGGGTGGTGAGCAGTGGATAAGACACATACCTTCGTTGTGGGAGACCTGGGTTCATTCACTCTGTGAGACGTCCGCCAATGTGTCCCTGAGCAAGACATTTAACCCCTAGTTGCTCGGCATGCGAACTCCAACATATATAGCAATTGTATATTGCTTTGGACAAAAGCGTCAGCTAAATGAATAAATGTAATGTAAAATGTAATGTAAGACATCCAGGAAGGTAATTTGTTTGTTTTTTGTCTTTTAAGCTGCCATTATATGACTAATAACATTCAACCACATGGCTTTTGTTGACAATTCTGAACCATTTGCCTTTTTACCTTTTGGAAAATTGAAACAATGTTTCATCCTCACATTGCTTCATTCAGGAACTGGAGCTTAAGGAGTGAACCCCCCCTAAAATGATGGATGAATGAAGAAGTGCATTGAACTGTTCAGACTCATATAATATGCAAAAACATGTCTGTGAAAGATGACATTTGCCTTAATTGTAATCCATAAATGAATGCATCCCAAAATTCCATTTAAAGACTGGTATAACTGCAGCAAAATGCTATTTTTTACCAGTCACAGATGTAAATCTGAAACTAATAACAACTCACTTTTGTGCATTCAAGCTACCAGGTTGGTAGAAGAGAATCTGTACAGTTTTCTTGTTTCAGCACCAGACACTTTTATATCTGTGGGATTAAAAGTAACAGCACCATATAGGGCTGATGTATTCAAAAGCTCAGACCAACAGTATAAACTGTTTTGAAAGCTTACAATCTGGTGAAAGTCATCTGTTGAACTGGTGACTTGGTTTGCAGCACACATGTTCATCTGACATCATGTTGTGAACATGAGAACTACAATTCAAAGGGCTGGCAACTCGCTAGATGTGCACTGTATTCATCATTTTAAAAGAACCAGTAGCATTTCTTGTAAATGCTGATGGGAGGGGTGGACAGTGTTTGGTAGGTGTGGCTTATTACATGAAGTTCTTATATAGTGTTGTTGCAGACAGACTTAGTTCTTCAGCTCAGCAGCAGACCTGCTCTTTCCTCCATAACCCAAGGATGGCCAGCGAAAATACCAGAAATGGTAAGTCGATAAACACCATTCATAATTTTAATTATATGGATAAAATATTTATAGATATCAAATCCTATACATATTGTCGCTCTTTCTATTATCTGTTGTTACTTATAAAAGCGTCTGCCAAATGAGTAAATGTATGTGAAAAAAAATGAATACCTAGAGTGGTAATTGTATGTTAATTTCTTTTAGCCATCCCATCTGAACTGTGCAGATACAATAATGAGGAGCTCAGGATTGTGATGGTGGGGAAGACTGGAGTTGGGAAGAGCGCCACAGGAAACACCATTCTGGGAAAACAGTACTTCAAATCAAAGTTCTCCCCTAAATCTTTAACTGAACACTGTGATAAGGCCGATGGTGAGGTGGACGGACAAACAGTTGCAGTTATTGACACTCCGGGTCTGTTTGACACCAGGAGTGATCAAGAGAAAACAGTTAAAGATTTTGCCCAGTGCTTTTCTTTTGCGTCTCCTGGACCCCATATCTTCTTGGTCGTCATCAGACTGGGCAGATACACAGAGGAAGAAAAGCAGACGGTGCAGAAAATTCAAGAAATATTTGGAGAGGAAGCAGACAAATACAGCATGGTTCTCTTTACCCATGGTGACCTGCTCAAAGGGGAACCAATTGAGGAGTTCTTGAGGGACAGTGAAGACCTGCAGGCACTTGTGGGCAGATGTAACGGCCAGTACCATGTCTTCAATAATGACCTGAAACATTGTTCTCAGGTAAGTGAGCTGCTTAAGAAGATCAGAAACATAACCGAGAAGAACGGAGGAAGCCATTACACCACTGAAATGTTCCAGAGGGCAGAGAAGAAGATTGAAGAGGAAAAACAACGTATCCTTTTAGAGAATAAAGAGCCAATCCGCAAAGAGCAGGAGGAACTGGAGAAGACAATAAAGGGAAAGTATGAGCAACAAATGAGGGAGGTGAAAGATGACAAGGAGAGGATAGAGAAATTAAGGGCAGCTCGTGAAAAAGAACTGGAGGAGGGAATTAAAATACTGAAATATAGGCAAAACAAGGAGGCCAGAAGGAAAGCTGAGAAGAGCCCTAAATTACTCGAAATAGTAGCTGGAGTTTTAGGAGTTGTTGTTCTTGTTTTGTCAGTATTAGCTAAATTTAAGTTTTGACTTGTTAATATTCACATTCCAGGTTTTGGTTTTCTGGTCTTATTTGTAATCATAATAGTGTTGAGTATTTTATTACATTAAAATTGTGGTTACTTTAGATTTTTAACGTGTGATATTTACTTCCACGATGTGGACCTATCCTTTAGCTTGCGATTGTGCTCCACATAATAGTTTGCACCGCCCCAGGAAAATTTGTCTATCTTTTATTTTTTTGACTTGGTTTATAATTTGTCTGTAAATTTCACCTAATGTTCTGTGTTCCACTAATACTCAAAATATGCTGACCACATAAAAAACAGGGTTTGATTTCTGTAATATCTCAAGTATTGTTACTTTAATAAATATGTCAATCAAATTGGATTGTATAGTACAGATGTATATAACTTGCCATGGAAGTTGTATATCATTTCTTTTGCTGATTGACTTGGTTTTATTGTTAATCATTTACACATTTAACGTGTAGGTTTGTTGTGTATGATGTAATAACTGACACCTGCTCTCTTTACATCAAGGATCACAACTTCTCTTGTGTGTGGTTGAATATCCTCTGCTTCATAATGTCAAATAAACCAAACAAAACTTTTGTTTGTTGTGTTAATTGTACAACATGATCCTTTCATATTTAACAGTGCTACTGATTGTCAATAATATGTTGATAAGGTGATGATATAATAAAATTATTCATCCACCATGGATGCCACCAAGCTACACTACTGCATGGACACAGAGACTGTACAATAGCTCCCTCCACTGGCCAGTGAGTGATAAGCTGCAGAGAAATTAATTGGAGGAGAAAATATCCATCCATCGTCAACCGCTTATCCTGCGTACAGGGTTGTGGGGGGCTGGAGCCAATCCCAGCTGCCATTGGGAGAAAGGCACCCTGGACAGGCTGCCAATCCATCGCAGGGCCACACATAGACAACCAACCACTCACACTCACGCCTAAGGACAATTTAGGGTCACAATTACCCTAGCCTGCATGTCTTTGGATGGTGGGAGGAAGCCGGAGCACCTGGAGAGAACCCACGCAGACACAGGGAGAACATGCAAACTCCACACAGAAAGGCCGGGGAAACCGGGTTTGAACCCCTGTGCTGTGAGGCGACAGTGCTAACCACTGCACCACTGCGTCGCCCTGGCCTAATAGTAATTAAAATTAAAATTCTTTTTAAATACTTTTAAAATATGTGTAAAAAATGTGAATTTATGTATAGTTTTAACTCAAAATAATACAATTAAATTAATAATTCTCACAAACGCAGTTTACATAAACAACAGGTTGTATATATATTTATTTTTTAGTTCACATACCTATCTGTACAGACAGAGAAAGAGTTTTTGATTGCTATAATCTTTTATCCACAGTCCTCATTTTGTGAAGGTTTTATACTAAAATTTAGCCATAGGTAAGCTATGAGGTTTCAGCAGTCACAGTTAGGCTTTAAATCAAGCATGTGTTTTTCAAGTTTTTGGTAAGATATTTAGTTCTTGTGCTTCACCGGACTGTTTCATTTTTGCCTCAGCTGAACTTTAGAATATGTTTGTTTATATGAACGAGGACTGTAGATTTTGAATCACTTCATGGCCAGTATGAACACAAAGAATATTTACAGCAAGTGTACGTTTTATCCAAACAGACTTATCCATAATATAAACCTATCCTTTAAAAAGTACTAAACTTTTTGTCGTTGGCAGGTGTCTGGTGAACATATTCGGAAGCAGTAGGTGGCGGTAATGAAAAGCTGTTTGCGAACCGCAAAAGAACACGAAGAAGAAGTCAGGAAGTTCCCTCGTGTAGTGTGGACAGAAGAGTGAGACAGGAGCACACTTTACCAGTAAAGAGATAAAAACACATTTTGTCGCAGGAGTCAGCTCACTGAATAAGTAAGTAAACATTAGACACCAGTCGCCTGTTGTCACCTTTTTTTGTCGTTGTGTGTCTGTCTAGACTTTTAGCGGTTATAAGCAGATATCTAACGTTAACGTTACACTCAAATGTGTGCACTTTGGATATCTGGCTGCTACCCGACGTTTGCATAGTTTGTCTCATACTGACGCAGCAACACAGTTTTACAGTCTATTTTAATTTTATATTAAAATGTTTCGTTGGTAACGTTAGGTACTGCGTTCAACCTGCTTTATTAGCTAACGTTAGTGACCTTAACTACCCGACAGCTAGCTGCTGCGTAGCAGGTAGGCTAGGATAGGCTAACCAAATAACCAGACTTGAAATGAATAAATTACTGCCATGAATCCCAGAACCAGTCACTACTTTAACTAACATCACAGCTAAACAATGATATGTCTCTTCCATGTAGCTCCTAAATCCAACCATCCTGGAAGTTATACTGCTCAGTTTCTGTTGATTGGTGTTCATTTTGGAGGCTGTAGTTTGTGGTAACTTACTGTTAATTTGTATTTTGTTATACTGAGAGGTGTTTTCTATATTCATTGATACAAATGGGATGGATTCAATATTTGATACACCTCTCTGTAGAATAGTATACTTCTGCAACTAATGGTTATTGTTGTTATCGACTAGTCTATTTTTTGTTGTTTGGTCTATAAAATCTCACAAAGTTTAAATTTCAGACTGATTATTTGGAAAATAACATGCAGTGTTATCAATATTGGGCATATTTGTTAGTTGCAGACCTAAAGGTAAAATAAAACTGGCAGTTTTTTAAAAGGAGTCTGTTTTCTCCTTTCCTGAATGAATGTCACATACTTGGGTTCTGAATAAGGAGAGAGTTTTGTATGTTGTAAAGGCCTCTAAAACAAATTTGTGTTTTTAAGCCATATATAAAATTACTTTTAATTTGACTTTCTCTTACCTTCAGGCTGCCATGGCCTCCTACACCTGCATCAGCTGCAGAGTGGCTTTCACAGACGGCGAGGTGCAGAGAGCGCACTACAAGACCGACTGGCACCGCTACAACCTGAAGCGCAAGGTGGCTGAAATGCCACCAGTCACTGCTGAAAACTTCCAGGAGCGCGTCCTGGCACAGCGGGCGGCCGCCGACCAGCAGCTGAGCGAGGCGGCGGCCACCGAAAGCTGCGCCGTTTGCAACAAGAAGTTCTCCAGCGCCAACGCCTACCAGAACCACCTGCAGTCCCACAAACACCAACAGGCTGAGAAGCAGGCCCTGGCTGCCGCCCAGAGGAAAGTGGAGAAGATGAACGAGAAGAACCTGGAGAAAGGACTGGGTGATGAGAAGGTGGATCACGACGCTAGGAACGAGGCCCTGCAGCAGGCCCTGAAAGAGCAGCAGAGGTCGAGCCCAGCCAACCAAGGGATGGCCCAGACTTCAGAAGGAGCGAAAAGGCAGAGGACGGAGAAGCTGGAGAAACCTCCCAGGATGATGTGGCTGGAGGAGCAAGCAAAGAGGAGAGAGACAGAAGAGGGAGCCACAGCTGCGGAAGGTAAGGAGGAGGAATAAAACCATCACTGAATATACTTCTTACTGTGATTGTTTTGTTATTTACAAATGGGCCACATCTTGATCATTGAAATGTTGAGCAGGAGGAAAAAGTGCATTTGTTGGAGACTGTTTTCAGCCTTAGAGGAATCCACATGTGGTGCTCTAGTGCAGGGGTTCTTAACCTTCTGGCAGTCCGACCCCTTTTTGAAGTAGAAAATATTTCGCGACCCAAGACAGAATGCGTTTTTTGCAGTGAGAGGATTTAAGATTGTTTTCTTTTGGCAGTTCTACCCGCTGTTAATGCGCCCTGTGCGCATCACCTTTTGGCCGCCGTGTTTTTGAATGAGCGCTCTGAGTTGAAAAAAATTTAACTCGTGCCCGACATCATTCGTGTTTTTTTTTTCCCCATTGTCCAATCTAATGAATGGAGAGACGGGCCTCAGTTGTGCTGACGGAAGTTTACAGTTGCTTGGATTGTCCGGACTCTCCCCGACTCATCCTAACATATACCTTGAACCGATCATCATTAAGACGAAGTTCCTGGACCATCAGTGTCTCCCCTTTCTGAGGGTCTCATGTGCCCATACGGATCTCAGTTTCCCTGTCTCCTGCGTGTTTTTACTCCTCACACACTCAAAACAGTGCCAGAGCAGGCGCCCTCCGTTTGAACGGATGTTTTTAGCAACAAAAGACTCAGACCTGTGAGTTGTGATCAAGTTTCTGCTAATATGACCGTTATTACTTAGCGGCAAACCAAAGATTACAGATCGGCCAGCTATAATCTTTGATTAGACTGACAGGACAGCTGATTCCTAGCAACATTAAAAAACCACAGCGCTTTTCTAAATTCAACCAAAAAAGCCGCTGCTGTGTGCCTCGCGTTTTTGAACCTGCAAAGCGCTTTATGTCTGATCGGGGCCTGATGCTTCTTTGTCGTTTTATAGCAGTTGGCATCACCGCCAGCTGCTGGATTAAACAGTGCAAAATATTTACAGTGTCCACCCAAAGTGATTCCATTCACAACTATAGTCCATCTAGTGATTTTTAAGTTATTTTTGTCAGTAGCAGCATTCCCCTGGTCCTGGGGGTCCCGACCCCCAGGTTAAGAACCACTGTTCTAGTGAGTATTTGGGGCGGCAGGACGGTGTATGTGGGACTGAGTCAGAATAAACTACAGTCTGTGTGTTCATGGTGATGAAGGAACATGTCACCCAGTGCAACAGTGAGGCTCACTGAGGTATTTAAACAGCAGGGCTCTGTGGCTCAGAGGAAGGATATATCTGTGATACACAGAGAATACTTGTTGGTAGACACATTAATGGTTTGTTTTGGTCTCTTCGTGGAATTAGCTGACGAGAAGAAGAATATAGAATATTATCAGACTTCAAACAAAACTATTCACATTTGAAGAACACAAACTCCAACAACAGTTCCTCTTTAGTTAGTTTGGAATCAGAATTATCTATCCATCTATCTAGGCTGTAAGATAAAGGTACTGAATGTCAGGTCGTTTTCATTAGAGTTTTAAGATCTTTGTTTTTATGTGTTAAAAAGTGACATGTCCCAATTAAAATCTTTCAGAAGAGTGGGAGGACATTAGCGAGGATGATGATGAGATGGAGGAGGATGAAGATGAAGAGGAGACGATGGATCAAGAGGGTGGTGACTCTGCGGCTCCGTCGGACCCCCAGCTGGCTGCTCTGCCTGGCTCCATCCCCGTCACAGACTGCCTCTTCTGCTCCCACCACTCCAAGTCACTCATGAAGAGCGTCGCCCACATGACCAAAGTCCACGGCTTCTTCATCCCCGATGTGGAGTTCCTTGTTGATCTCAAGGGCCTCATTCGCTACCTCGGTGAGTTTGTGGTGTAAATGTGAGGAAACTCCACGTGGCCATTCAGGCAGATTATAGCTGCACAGAGTCAAGGCTCAGACTTTAATCTGTCAATGCTCAATCTACTGTATTGTCAAACTGTATTGTGTCGAGAATGAAAATCCTGCGGGAAGTAGTGAGGAGAGGAAATAGTCCCACTTCAGTGTCATAATGTGAATGATATGGTCATTTTTTCATTCCCAAAAACAGCTTCCAGTTTATCTGTGTAATGTCAAAGGTTTTCAGTCTATTCTAGAGATGTCCTGATTGTGTTTTTAGATAAAACTCGATCTAATACTTTTGATTTTATATGTACCAAACATCTTCTTGTTTTGGGGGTGTTGATTCAGCTCTGATGCTTTGAGGCTGTAGTTGTTGATATTTTTTATATGTTGGAAAACCTCTAAATAGGGCTGAAACAATTCATCGATTAAATCGATTACTAAAATGCATCGATGCGAAGATGCTTCGTTTAATCCATATAACTATATAGCACAGTGTTTCACACGGACATTTATTCCTGTTGCACATCGTGCTTACGCTGTGAACACGACGTGTTATGATGGAGCTGTTTGCAAAGTGGAGGAAGAGAGAGAAAATAGCGAGTGTTCAAAGTCTGGGATGTCAAGAGTTAACTGGGTGTCGGGGAGCTGCACCTTTTAGTATAACTTGTATAGCAATAAGTTTGTGTTTGTAAAGCAGCTTATTGGTCTGTTGATGTTGTTGGTCTGATGTTTGCTGTATGACACACAATGAATTTCCCGAAAAGGAGGAATAAATATCACCTATCAACGTACACAGCTGATCCCGTTGCTAAGCAAAAGTACTTCTTAAACGACGCATCGATGAATCATTAAAATCATCGTTAGCTGCAGCCCTACATCTAAAGATCTCTTGCTATTTAGTTTTTATGTCTATGAATACACTATAACAATTTTTGTTCCTGGGTAGTAAGTGTTCAAAAGTATTGAGTCGCTATTATTACCCACAAACTTTGCTTTTGTGACCAGGACAGTGACATTTTGAAATGTACCTATCTCCAGTGAGAAAACGGGCAAATTTGTGTCTTTTCATTCACAGAAAGTCAGACAAAAAACAACAACATATGAATCCAATTGAACATGTATTTATACTAAAGTAATACAAAGATGACTACAAAAGATTTAGAAGTGAGTAGTCGCTCGAGATTTACAATTACACAGTAAAACAAGAACATGATGGGAGACTACATTTGGGGCCTGATTTGTGAAAGTGACTTACAGTATAATAACACGGTGATATCAGACAAAGTAATATGAACACCTGACAGACTGATTCATCCGATCACTGCACCACATGCAGCCTTCATTCCAAATGTCAGATTAAGGATTTTCCCAGCTTCACCACAACAGTATTAACAGTATTAAGCTTTCCTGATATAAAGAGTTTTTGTTGATATTTGTTACTCGGTGCTCCTGTTATGAGTGAAAGATGTGTTTCTCCAACCCCTTCTTCTTTATTGTGTTACAGGAGAGAAAGTCGGTGCAGGGAACGTGTGTTTATGGTGTAACGAGAAGGGCCGTTCGTTCTACTCTGCAGAAGCAGTACAGAGTCACATGATAGACAAAAGCCATTGTAAACTCTTCACGGACGGCGACGCTGCCCTGGAGTTTGCAGACTTCTACGACTTCAGGTAATAAATTACTCTGTGACCTACTGATCTATCTCCTTGTGTAGTTACCAGTTGTTGACGGTTATCAGTATCTAAAGGCAACAGGAAGGCATTAATGCTTAGTCTTTGTCCATCTGAGTCACATTTTGTTTTTGTCAACAGGAGCAGCTACCCTGACAGGAAGGAGGGAGAGGATGCTGAAATGGACGAAGAAGAGCTTCCCCATGACAAGACCCTGGAGTATGACGACGAAACGCTGGAGCTGACTCTCCCTTCAGGTGACTTGACTTGAAATTAGTTTTTATAATCAGCAGCGCTCAATAGTGTAATAGAGTAATTGAATGAACAGAATATAGGGCTCCTGTAATATAGGGTCTTTATTTCTGCCTTATTGCCACTCAGGATCTTCTGCAGGGTTCCAATGCGTTGGAGATGTTGGTATGCAGCGTGCTTCATAATCCCGTTATTGCAAAAATTATTAGTTAACAAATTGAATAGTCTGTTGATGTAAAATGAATCATGGACAATTTTCATAATTGATAAATTGTTATAACAACAAAAATGCTTAAGATTCTCTGGTTCTAATCATCTCTCAGATCATTGTAAATGTAATATTTTTGGGCTTTGGACAGTCTGTCAGACAAAAACAAGCAATGTGATGACATTTTGAGGGAATTTATTATATTCTGACATTTTTATTAACTAAGCAATGAATTGGGGGGAAAAACTCAATTGATTTATGGATCATGAAAATTCGGCCCAGTATTCTCCAATTTTTTAGACAACTGTCTTGTTTGAAAATAAATTCCTTAGTGCTCTGATCACATCAAAACAGTCAATACAATCTAACTTCAGATGTACAGCATCCAGTATGTTCACTGATCAGCTAAACCTGACTCTCACAAATGGCAAAAACCTAAAACTAGATTAAATGCCACTTGTGTCTGGACTGTGTCATTAAATTTTTGTGTAATTGGACTATATCATCCATTTTCACACATTTAATTGTGTGTTTGAATTGTGCTTGTTTGTCTGCGTTGGTCTACATACAGCATTTACGCTGTATGTATGAGTGGTGATGGAACAGTGGATAAGACACCTGCCTCTGGTGTGAGAGACCAGGGTTTGACTCCCCACTGTGACACATCCACCATTGTGTCCCTGAGCGAGATACTTAACCCCTAGTTGCTCCAGAGCCGTGCGACCTCTGACATATGTAGAGAAGTCGCTTTTCAATAAAAAGCGTCAGCTAAATTGTAATCTCTCTTACTAGACGGTTCTGTTGGATCTCTGCTCTCATTGGCTTGTTTGTGTGTGTGTGTGTGTGTGTATGTATATAATAGTGTGGCTTCATCGTTTATGTTTAATGTGTTCATATTGTAACAGAATGCATGCCCTTGCTGTGTGTTTGTTCAGGCGCTAAGATCGGTCACCGCTCCCTCATGAGGTACTACAAACAGAGGTTTGGAGCTGAGAGAGCGGTGGCACTGACCCACAATAAGAACGCTGTTGGCAGAGTCCTCCGGCAGTACAAAGCTCTGGGCTGGGGAGGAGATGGAGGTAAGATTCAACCAGGACCTTTAGACAACAATAGAATAGTTCTTTGGAGCCATTTGGTTAATATTTAACCATTTTAAGAGAGAAAAGGTTAAGAGAACTGAACCAGGGTTTGCATCAGTCTGACAGTGGCTCCTGAACATTCAAATTTTCTCTTTCCTCTCATTTATTAAGGCATTCATCTTGTTTTTCTCAACTGTAAAGCACTTTGAGATGTAAGTCTTTTAAGTAAAGGTGCTAATTAACAGAACATATTAACTTATGCCAGGAATTTGACTCTGCTTAACTTGCACAACCATGTTGTGGAGATTGTTATCATGTATGTGGCTGTTGAGATGGGTATAATGGAAAAAGTTAGTCAGCTGACAAAATAGTTAAGAATCATAATTTTCCTGCTTCTTCTTTTGTTTAAAGTCATACTGTAGGGTTATTTGTCATCTATGGAAATGGAGGAAAAAACTAACATGAGGCATGTAAAATGCACTTACCAAGTTGTCGATGGCATGAAAAAGCTCAGAAAGCCCTTGTAACTTTCTGTTTTACCAGCAATCCACAAAAAGGCAGTAGAAACCTTTTATGGAACTCGAGTTTCAGTACTTTTTAGTGCAGAGCTTCTCACCCTGCACTAGTGTCTTACGCTAGTTTAGAGTTATGGTGGTTACCTAAAAAAGCTTGGGGAATGAAGAATGTTGGGACATCGTTTTTGGCTGAGGAGCAGTTAGTTGTGTCTGTCAATACGAAGTTAGAGTGAACAACGACACAGCAAGTAATGTAACTAATGTTAGTTAGGGTGTGGGTTAGCAAACTGACGCTACTTGCTGCTGCAAAGCTAACATGAGAGGATGAGACGGTCCCAGAGCAGCACAGCAGCTCCAGACAGCGACACTTGAAGCTCTGCTGCTACTACAGCTATCATCACAACAGTGTCCGCAAGACATTTAACTTTGCCTGACTGACACACACATCATGGCTGGCACTGCTGGATAGTGTGGTGTGGCTCGTCCATTATTTTTAATGCAAATGTCTTCCCTGCAAATGTGTGGAAGAACGGACCGCGGTAAAGTTAGATTAAAGTTGGATTTTTTTTTTTTTTATGTTGGAGATTTGATAGATGTCAAATTCCAACATCAAACTAACTTCACCACGATGCAAAGTGCCGTTCCCTCACCAAAATATTACGTTAAAGTGTGGAATTTGCGACACAGCTATATAAACGATAATTGTAAACGATAGACGTCAAACTAGTTCAGTGTGTAAGTTTTAGTGGCATCTAGTGGTGAGGGCTGCAAAGCGCATCTGAAGAAGCTACGGTGGCTGACGCGCTCTGTCGGCTCTTGTGCTAAATAAGTGTGGTCCAATATTTGTCCAGATTTCTCTTCTTTTCTTAATTCCAATAAACCAATCGTCGTCGTCTTCTTCTTTGAATGTATTCAACATTGTAATGAAACACGCTCTGTAGAGCAGTTTGTCTGTTTGGGCAGCGCAACATGTGTATTGTTTATTTTCCGTCCTGTGTCCAGTCCACGGTGAGTGGTGTAGAAAGGGCTCCCCCTTGTGTTCGCTTTTCATTATTCTCATAAAAACTGCAAGAAAACCTCTCTAAACAACATAATGACACACTGTATGCACATGCTGCCTCTCCCCTTTCTCTCTCTTAGGGAACAGCTTCTTTCAGAAACCGAGAGACATGCAGTACGTACAGATGATGAAGTCAAAGTGGATGCTAAAGATGGGCATGAGCCACAACGCCACCAAGCAGAAGCACTTCAGAGCCCAAGTCATGTTCTAAACTCAAGCTGGAGGAACCGAACGAGGAACGAAATGTGACATGGACTTGACAAGAGCTTTGCTGTTTCCCAGCCAACAAGACTTTGTATGCAGAATCAAGAACAGCTGCAGAAACGGTGGAAAATCACGTCATGTCGGTGACGCTGTATTGTGCTTTAAGTAAATGCAGTCATGTTGATTTGAGGTTTAATAACTATAGTAAAGACCTTGCTGGGGAGGAATATTTACCAGCTGCTTGTAAATCTTTCATGAGCTGTTACATTAAATGTAGTCATAGTAGGAAACCAAGTTTCATCTCTGGACGGCTGCATCACTGTGTGGAAAGTGTTGGTTGGTCCGCTGTAAATCTGTTTGAAATTGACTTGCGATAAGAATCTAGGTGGAAGCGCTGTCGTCTCATGAACAACCACACAGGTGGAGATCACCAGCATGATCACATTTCAAAAATTATTTTGAAACTCTATGGATCATGTAAAAGCTACAGTAGATCAATACTAATCAGGTGGTTTTACAGTTTTTGGAATCTAATCAGTAAAATAATTATTATTTTTTTTTAAGTGATGACAGGATTCGTAATACATCACCCAAATAAATGTTTCATTTTTATGGAATACATTCCAGTCTTCCTTCCTTAATAATTATAAAAAACGTTTTCAGGTGGAATAAGCTTATTCAGTGCTAAAACTGCCAGAGAGGTTATAGCCACACTGTCCTGTGAGGCTGTAACGCTACGTTCAAACTGAGCAGTCCTGTGTCGTTGTAAAACAGCGTGTCATCCCACAGAAATGTTTAAATTTGCATCTTTTGCAAAGCAACACAACGTAATCCAGCTGAGTTGGCCAATCAAATGCATGAAAGCACATTTCCTGGTAGATTTGCCTAATTTCTACTGTTTACCTCCTAGATTTTACTTTACTAGTCCCAGTGATTCTTGTAAAAATCCTATGACGTGACAAACCGCCGTGGCAATGATGGGTGGCAAATCCCGTCATCATGAAAACATTGCGCATATAATTAAATGATTGTTCCTGCTTTCAGCCGATAAGATCAATCAAGTCATTGTAGATTTTTATTACCGTCCAAGTTTAGTAGTAAAAACTGCATGTTTTCTGATAAGTAACAAGAAATTGCAGTAAAGAAATGCCAAAGATATATTTGAGGTCATCAAGAAACAGTGTCTTCATTAAAGGTTTGTCCACCCGTGAGGGCTGTCCATTTTATTTTTCAGTTTTTACCTAAAATGTCACTCTTAGTGCATCCTGATAACCGTAACCAAATTTATCAAAAATGTTCATGTTAAATTCAAACTGGCCAAAATGTAGTTATTAGATTTTTTTAAACTGTCAGATATTCATCACCTAAACAATCCAGGATGGTCTGGCCTTTCTGTTCTCACGTTAGGACTTTCCTGAACCTTCTTTCTTATTTTCCCTCCTTGCCTGATCTGAAAGCTCAGGAGTTCACACATTTTTAATTACCACCAGCAAAACTACACCCTACTCTTCTTCACAGTGAGTACTCTTTACTTTTGGTACTTGAGTACTTTTTTACTGGTAATATGTCTTCACTTTTACTAAGTAAACAGTGATTTTATTTTATTTTTTTTAGCTCATCTTCATCATCACTAGTTCTTTTCAGGTACGTCAGACTTATCAATGACTCAGCCTCGTGCAGATGATGTCATGGAAAGCTGATCGGGCTTCAGCAGGATGCTGACCCACCACACCGCCCCTTTAATGAGCTCAGTTACTCCATTTGTTTGTGGTCCTCCACTTTATCTTTGGCAGCCTCTCCACTTCCTTTTGCAGGCTGGGAGAGTGTTTGTGGCGCGATGGTTTCAGGGGTTTAGGGCACTCTGCCCGTACAGTACGCCACTGTTTGACATAGTCGACAGGAAAAGCGGAGAGGGGGAGGGGCCCTGCAGACAGGACGACGGCGAGAAGGAGACTAATTGATCAGGACTTGGAGAGAGAAACAGGGCAGAAGGCTGAGAGAGGCATTAGCACTGTGGAAGTCATGGGAGGAGGTGATTCTTTCAACTGGAATGGTTTGAGCGATGCTGAAGGCAGATACTGACCACTTTGGACACAAGCCTGTTGATTTACTTCACTTGTATTAATACCTTCAGTATTAATATTGTTGCCTTCACATCTACTCCCGTTCATGATATGTTTCAAGTAAATGTAGTTAAAGGCAGATTAGATTAATTTAAAGACTACATTTACATCACACTTCCTAATTGGCAGACAGCAGCAGCAGCAGCAGCCTTTAATTCAGATTCAGATAATTTTAGTTTCAGCTGCTAAGAACCAGCCAGATTGGACAGATTTGAGTACTTAGATCACAGCTGGACCTGGTCCTGATTGGCTCCCTTTTTTGTTTCCTGGCATTGGTCCACAACTTCCTGGAAGCAGTGTGGCTGTACGATGGCACTGTTGGTCTGTCAGTCCACCACTGTGGTCCAGACTGAAATAAAAGACCAACTATTGGATGGGCTGTCATGACATTTCATTCAGACATTCATGTTCCACAGAGCACTGACCTGCTGGTGATCCTCACGCCATCTTTAAGTCCAAATTTTAATTTGTCCAAACCCTGAAAAAACAATGACTTACTACTGTGTTTATTGCCTATTAGCTAACTTTAGCATGCTAACACTCTAAACTAAGAGGGTGAACACAGTAAACATTAAACCTGCTAAATAGCAGCATATTAAGCATGTTTGAATGCTGATGTTAGCATTTAGCTCAAAGCACTGCTTTTTCATAGTCTTGTTGAAAATGATTTAAAATGTTGGTACCAGGGGGTTTATGTTATAACCAACAGCTTTATTAATGGTTCATAATTTACATCACTTACAAGACAATTATAAGAACAACTTTTGGGTTGCCAGGTTGTGAAATGTCTCTGTGGTGTTCATCATCAGGGCAGTTTGAGCTCTCTGTTGACCTGAAGCCATTTATTAACTTATGAACATTAACAACTGCAGACATGATTGTTTTTATAGAAAAAACGTATAAAGAAAATTTATAGAAAACAATATAATTTTCCGCTGCCCAGCAATGTATTCAGATTGCTTGTTTTATTGGACCAACAGCAGATATTTGGTTTCTGCTACATTAAAGCATCAGATTTGAGAAGCTGGCACGAGCAAAGGTGTGGAATTTAGGAAATGACAAAAAGACCCATCTTTTTATTAAAATAGTTGCTTTGTTCGTGATATACAAACATTTATAATTGCAAATTTGATAAGACAACCTTTCATTAATGACATGAAGGATGACTTACCAAAATTCAATTCAAATTGTTTTTTATTAACCATACATACTTAATTTCACATAGTTTGTCCTGTATAAGAAGAGTAACTATTTTAAATATGTATTAGATGAATGAGCGCCATGCTGTCAGACAGAAGGTAAAATTCAACAGTAAATTCGGAGACAGTCCATCTCAGTCCCCACCCCTCCTAAACAAAACGTGTTTAGAAGCAGTTCACCCGGCCCTCCCTGCTCTCAGCACGATCCCGTCTCCCTCCGAGCCCTGGGGACCTGCTATTGATCGTTGCCTCGTAGGTAGTGATTGGACATGAGTGGATAATTTCCTTTGCTGCATTAGAGTCCATTACTGGCCCGCTCCCCGGAAAGCGATAGACATCCTCAAAAGAAAAGGGCAGATTTTTCTTGGAAAAGCAGTCTCCTCCGACAAATGATTTGCTGGCTGAGACTCCTCACACTTTATTATCAGGCCCATATGGAGGTAAGATACTGGCCAACAGCACAGGAGGTCATGGCAATTACCCCCCAGTTGTAAGCAGATATTAGTGTTTATTAATTTATTTCTCAACAACTATAACTTTTGCTATTTCTTCAAAGGAGAAAGTTATAATTCCTGACAAACAGGCTACTATACATTAATAAACTCAAAAATGTAGCTGCTTACAACTAAATTATAGTTTGTTATAAACAATGTATTAAATGTTTGTAAACTGCTTATAAACATTAAATGGGGAACATTAGATTGAGCTCAATCTCAGTTATATCCATTCAGGGACTATTTGTTGATCTTGCACCACCACTGTCCTTCATTTGTACCTTTCAACAAATTTCCAGCTGAGATTTCACCTGTACAGTCAGATTCTTTCCCTAGACACAGATCTGGACTATTTGTGGGTTGAATGTCCTTCTCGGGGCACCTCGAAAGGGGTTTGTTATGCTGGGCCAATCATTACTCATTCACACAGTCCAGGGATTTAAATGGGCAACCTTCCCATCATAAGATCCCTTGTCTTGATACTCGCCGGTATCCTTATGGATATCATAAAGTAGGTCATTAACTCTAATGCATAAAAAACAGAAAACAGACATGAGTCAGCAGGAGTGAAATGCATTGAGCTTGAATTACTGTGTAATCACTGATTTATTTAGGAAGCCCTTTTCCACAGTTTTCGTGCTTTCCTGGATATTTGATCCACCGAATAAGATGCTAAAATGTGGGTGATGTTTGGTTAAAAGTGCTTTCAAATGTTTGAATGGCCTATATTAAACAAGAAATTCCCCATGTACAGCAACAACAGTCAGGTGCTGATAGATTGCAGGATTTAGCAACGTTTTGCGGCTGTTGCTCAGGAGGTAGAGCGGGTTGGCCGTTTATCGAAAGGTCGGTGGTTCAATCCCCGGCTCCCCCAGGCTGCATGTCGAAGTGTCCTTGGGCAAGATACTGAACCCCGAATTGCCCCTGGCGGCTGTTCCACCAGTGTATGAATGTGTCTGAATGTTAGTTTCCGTTTGAGCACTTAGGCTCAGTGTATGAATGTGTTTGACTGGTGAATGCAGATTTAGTGTAAAAGCGCTTTGAGTGGTCGAAAAGACTAGAAAGGCGCTATACAAATACAGAACATTTACATTTGCCTATGGCTTCATCAGCGTGAACCTGAAGAAGCCTAGGCGACAAATAAATCACAGTGAAGTCATCTCACCCTGCTGTGGCTTGTGTTTGATTTTTCATGGCTTAAGTTAAACTTGACTTCTTGTATGTGAAACTGTTCACTGTGGGCTGCAGACTCAGGTTCTGTGATTGCATCTCTGCTTTTCTCACCTTTTAGTAAAAACTGATAAAAGCAGCATGCTTTCTTTTAAAACCTACAGACGTGGATGCTGCTCCAGTAATGCCCATAAGTCATATATGCTTCTGATAATAACCTGTGTGGAGCGATGATACTTTCTTACTCTATTGGGCTGTATAGGAAAAACAGAAGATCAAACTCTTACTGAAACTTCTGCACCATCTACAGAACATAACTGGCATATCGAGTGCCATTTGTGGTCTGCAAATTACATGTAAAATTCTATTTTCACTGACTTTTGACTTAACTCACTGACATTGTAAACTAAACACTTGTTTTTACCTTTGGTTAGACAAAATCAGCACATTTTTGTTTGGGCTCTGTCATTTTTTTTAATTTTTTTTTTTACCATTTTAAGTAGACAATTTATCTGAGAAATAATCATTGTTATTATGACTGTATTTGGCTGTAGACCCTTTGAGCCCCACTGAAGGACACATTGATTTAAGCCACCAGTGACGGCTAGTACTAATTGATCAACCTCTTCAGAGGCGGTGTGGATTTGTAGAGCTCTGCATTTCACTCAAAAGCACTTCAGAAGGACACATGCTCAGTAGCTACATTGGCTTTTAAAGCCAATGACCAACTGCCAACCTCCCTTAGTGGGTAGAAGGAGGTGAAAGAATAAAAATCTTCTCCAGGCCCCTCGAGATCCATGTGACCACTTCAGGCACCCTTAAAATCACTCAAAATAAACTCCCTTACCCCATCAAAGACCCCTGGTAGACCATCAGGAGTCTCTTCAGTAGCGAGAATCCTTAAAAGACACTGTTCCCCTGTACAGGACCCCGGATCATCCCTCCACAAGACCAAGAACTCCCTGAAGAAACCCTGTGACCAAACTTAAAAATTAAAAGAAAAATTGATGGAAGTCATGTACCATTAAGAGCTAGTACAAATTGTGTTTTTGATTAGTTAGATTAAAGTGGAATTTGTCAAACCACGTTCTGTCAGGCTCGCAGGCTCCCCTAAATAATCCACCAACCACCTTTAGAGAACCACAGGCTTCTGCCGCCCATAAGAGTTAATAACTCTTATCATTTATAGGCTGAGGTGCCTATTTAAATATTCAGGGAGGTTTAAGCCACCACCCTTGATAATGATGGCATTTGTAACCCAGCAGGTGAGCCCTTTAACGCAGGGAGGGGGCTGCGTTCTCATTTCTCTGGCGGGCTGCTGCTGCTGTTAACATGATGCAGCTCATCTCTTTCTTCCAGCCGGCTGTACAGACGTAGCGCGCGCATGCCTCTGGAAACTTATGTCCTCCATCATATTAATGGGATAATAATGTGATTGATTGGTCATCTCCCTGGGGAAATGGTCTTTTCTGCTTCCTGAGAGTCTAAGACTCATCAGACAACTTGCAGCTGACTTAGGAAGGATTGTTGCGCAAAAGCCTCTCAGCAGGGTAGTCGGAAATATCGGGGGGGGGGGGGGGGGTTAACCGGGTTTTTCCCGTTTGGAGGAAGGTCTTCCTTCGCCCACCGCAACTGTCAGCTTCCTCGGAGGGGACTAAAGAGGCGGAGGAGGGGGGGCGGAAGGGAAGAGGAAGAGGGGGGAATCCGGCGCTTCAGGACGGCTGAGTCCCGTTGCGATGCATGGAGGCTGCTTGGAAATGCTCCCCGGGTCCCCGGAGCGCATGAGGCGGTCCCAGGCGACGGACGGGCCACAGCACCGGAGGGATCCGGCCGGTGATCCGCAGCTCTGTCAAGCTGCCACACCATAGGTTCGGCTACAAGAGCACGGCTCGGTTCGGTATCCACGGAGCGGAGGCATATCCTCCGACAGCCTGCATCACATCCCCGCGTCGCAGTGGTGGATACTGTGTAACCTGTCGGGTGGCATCTATGCAATTTAATTTCGACTTTTCATTTTATTATGAGCACAGAGGAGGGAGAGGCGGGCTCAGCGTGTGGGGAGGCGAGGGCAGACACTAGCATCAGCCACAGCCACACCTGGGATGAAGGCGAACCCCGCGGCTCCCAAGGACGTCCCCGCCCCGACGACGAGGACGAGGCAACGCGGGGAGAGGAGGAAGAAGGGGGAGAAGGCTGCAGGGATGCATGTGGGGGGAACAATGGGGGACATTTTTCCAGTGAGGATGGGGCGGTCGGGGGCAGATCGTGCAAGGCACAGGCGATGCATTCAAACTGCAGCAGCGAAACCTGCATCCCCACTCCCAGCTGTCGGATCTGCTTCCAAGGCGCAGAACAGGTAAATGTTTCTGACACGGGAAACCGTTAACAGGTCTGATTTAGTGTGTCCAGGATTTTGTTACCACAAGGAGCTCACTGTCTAGCCTTAGTGACCCTGGTTTTGTGAATGGTGAAAGTAGCTTTAAATTGAATGAAGGTGAGGGCACGGATCTTACAGTACCGGATCCCGATTGGCTGACAGCAGCAACGTAGGCTAATTAGAATGAGGTAAACCTGCTGAGTGAGGCTTTCACCACAAATGACATGCTGGAAACTGGCCTGGCAATCAGAACCAAAATAAATCTGAAGACTAAACAGCTTCAACCAAATCCAAACCCGCTGCAGTGACTTCAGCACCATGGACAGCGCACACTTCAGCAGCTCTAAAAGTGAGCCCGGGGAACCTTCAGGAATCCTTGAGGGGACCTCAGAAGGCCCCCAGCATAATGATCAGCATCCCTGAAATTGTTACTCTTTTACCTTTATCTGACAGCTGCTTACTTTGCAGATTTTACAAACAAAAGAAAAATATGAAAATGCTAAAATATGAAACATCATTTTAAACTATCCAGCAGTAGCCGGTATAAAGCAGTTCAAATGAATTCTCCCTTAACTTACAACAACATTAAAATGCTACTTATGCAGCAATGCATCAGTAAGATATAGTACAATACATAAAGTAACACTGGATGGGACCCAAACACAATTCCAAATTAAATAATTCCTAAAGAGTAAAAGCAATGATGTGGCTTGCAGGATTTTCCTACATGGGAAGATTGAATACATTCAGAAGGCTGTAAATGGGAAGGGTTTTTAATTTGTTTTTGAGTTTTTTAGGAAATGGACTCATAAACATGGTTAGCAATAAGTAATTGTAGCAAGCGTTGAGACTAAAAGCAGCTGGAACTGTTTCTACACATAATGCATTATGAGTACTACAATGCTGTAAAAACTGAAAGCACCCCGAGCCAGAGGGAGTGTGACTAGTAGCCACATGAGACTTCCTCCATGGCCATAGTACATAATGACTAATTGCAGTTAATGTTTTTGGTCTATTAGAATATGAGGTCAGAATAATATCTGACCTTATACCAATCATCTAAAGTTATATGTAATCACACTAAATAATTCTATTATTCACTAAATTATGTTTGACTTTATCCCTTTTTGAAGATTTGAACCATATAGTTACATAGTCTTACGTTTATGTGCTCACAAAAATTCAGTCACGAGTGAACGAACACCAAAGAAACATTTATTTCTTGCTTCAAAATAATGTTATCAAACCAGAAACTCAATGCCAACTTCCTCCTTCCTCTTCTCCTGCTTTTCAGTCAGTTGTTAAGGTGTCATGTCTCTGTTAAAAATGCAGCTATTAGTTTAGAGGTAGCTTGCAATATCATTGGGGTCACATTGGCCAACTTTTTAGGCTTAAATTAATCACTATTTTGAAGAGCCTGAGCAGGGCTTTTAACACAAATACATAGTAAGGATGCCCAGGGTCTGAGGTCGAAATGTCCTGACAGTATTGCTGTGACTCAGGAATAATCATGTTAAAGTGATAAGAATTTTAAGATCAGTGCTGTGAGAGCAGGTTTTATATTTAGCTGATGTGACATCCCTGACTTAACATTCAGATCAGAGCGGCAGCTGGTTATTGCCTTTTAGAGTCAACAGGAAATTGAGACGTGGATATTAATAATCTATAATGCATCTCAACATTTCTTTGTCTACTTCTTCACAGTACTGATTAGTCATGTTTTTATAAATTCACTAATAAATTAAAGGCAGTTTGTGTTGAAAGCTACTAGCTGTTGTAAAACATGTTAATCTCAGTGATGAAAAAATTGGGATCCAACCCCAATCCAGATTTAAAAATCCAGGTATGTTCAAACCTGGTGCCATTGACCCAGAAATGGGCATTAAATAACACTGCATTACTTTTCATATTTTTAGAGAACACTTTCAATACAGAAAAACATTAAAATTGACATTGTGGCAAGTTTATTGGTAGAGCACCTTTCAAACAAATGCAATTCACAGTATGGAAAAGTATAGAATTGGATTTTTGTAATTTCCAGGTCTCATGTTGTCAAAAGCAAGACAAGAAGTATGGAGTGTGACTGAAAGATGCAGAGCTCTCCCCCTGTATGTCACAGCCTGCATACAGCTCTGCCCCAAGTGCCTTTTAATAACTACTAAATCCAGACATCTGCTTCCAAATTAGTTTGAATCACAGCATCACAAATAACCAAATATTAAGACTGAGTTATGCACTGATGTAGTTATCAGAAAAGTAAATGGATCTTTTCTGTAAGTAAACCATACCTTTGAAGCTATATGTTCATTGTTGTTTCCATGGACGCTGCAGAGACGCCATGAAAATTGAATAATTTTAATTATTTGGTTCTTATTAATAAAAGATACTGTTTATAAAAATATGGGGGAACAAAAGTATAATATCATTTATTCAGTATGTTAGGAGAAGGGCGGCGCGGTGGTGCAGTGGTTAGCACTGTCGCCTCACAGCAAGAAGGTCGTGGGTTCGATGGATGGATAGATGTTAGGAGAAAATAGTACAATCAATACACAATGAAACAAACTGTATCACATCCATCCTATCAATATAAGACAATGACAGAATGATAAACTCTTCATAATAAATATCTTCCCATATGCATCAGTCCATCTGCCCGCACGTCTTCCTGGATGTGGATGGACAGATGTGGACCTGCAGGGACGAATGCATACTGTCCACCCGTCTCTGAAATCTGACTCTCTGCAGGCCTATAGTGACAGCGAGCCTTGATGAGGTACGATTCATCCCCGTCAGAGCTTAAGGGAAAGAGAGGAGTCAGGGCAGTAAATGCCTAAGTGAATATCCTGTCTTCTGAACGTGGGCTATAGCCTATTAGCAGAGCTAATCTAATAGCTCTGCCTCCGGGTCCAGACTGATATTTGATTTTGATATAAGGCTGCAGGCTGGGCAAGCGAACCAGTTATCAAAAAGAACGCAAAACAGAAATTTGACACTTCAAATATTCATGTCTGAGCTGATAGTGTCAACATCAGTGCATTGCTGTTTTGAATTTTGATTTCTTTTTAAAACTAGACCTGATGACTTTTTCTACCAAACAGTAACCATCTCTGTTTGATTCACAAAGCTTTGTAAGGAATTGACAGTTCATTGTGAACTTTGTAAACATCTCATGGTCTCTTTAATTTTTTTTTTTCTATATTCTACAACAGATGGAGTTTGCTCAGTTGTGATGAAACTGTTTTAACATGTTCAGCATTTATTTGTCTGCATCTGCTGCATGGTCCTAAACACACAAAATGTTCACAGAGCTTTCCAGAGCTTTCAAATGCATCTTATGATCCTCCTCAGTAATTAAGTTTGTAGTGAAGTTGAAAGTCCACCTTGATTTAAGATTTATTTTCAATAATTATAATTCTTTGAATTACTGTATTTACTAACTTGTTTTGGGGCTTTCAACTGAACTGCAAACTCTATGTGCTGATGAAGACAATGAGTAAGGTTGAAACTGGAGGAGTAGCTTGTAAGTGCACCAAGAGCGGAGATTGGCGTTTCAGATCTGACAGTATTTATAATCATAGCTCAAGTTCCACTTACTGTCTTTTTTCGCAGCTTTCAACTCTATTCACTGATAAAACTGATATGAGTTGAAAGACCTTGAAATACCTAGAACAAGTGAGTAAATGGACTTTAAAATAAGATGGTCAGATATTACAATTCTTTGACAAGATCTCCTTAACTTACGCTCAAGTTACTGTTTTTTTCAGAGGCTAATTGACAAAACAATCTCAATTCACTTCCAAGTCCACTTCATCTGACCATGAGATGCTGTTGAAAACGCTATAAAAAGCTAGTAAGTAGATATTGAGGCAAGATGATTATGACATATCAAACATCTACTTCCCAGGTCAAGAATGAACTTTCACAATGAATGAATGAACTAATTATTGAGGTGCCCTGGTGGTAAAGCAGTCAAGTCATACAGGAAATGCATGGAGATATTCTAGTTCTATTAATACCCTTCAGCTGAAGCCTTGTTGACCTCATTGGTCTTTTATTGTTCTAAAATAAGTGGAATGTTTTTGTCAAATGTCCTCTTAGAGAAATCAGAAACATTAAAATCATCCTTGATGTTGGTTTAATCAATCACGTCATCAGTGGCTAGCCGACCCGCATCATTGCATTCAAGCGGAAGCCTCCGAGGTCCTTTTAAACCCACAAGGTTAATATGACATGATGAAAAATGAGCTCCCTGACCACTGACCTTAATATACTATTAATACGCCACTCACAGCCCAGCAGGCAGGTCAAAGCTACCGTAAAGGCTGTCTGAGGAATGCCTCAGGGAAGAAAAAAAACATCTGAACAAATAGATATGGCTGTAATGATTAATGTCACGCTGCGTCCCCGCCATTAATATCTGCGAGTGTTGTAGCTTTGAGAAATGATCATTGATCTGAGCAATGCTGGCAAAGCCCTCTGGTGAAGTCGTGTTTTCTGTGATGTATGACCTGCCTGGAGAAAAGGCCAAACTGAGGCCTGAAAACAAGGATTTCCAGACGATGGGAAAGTTGACTCATAGACCTTGAAAATGGATGTTAGATTAATATTGGGAAACGGTTCTAATATCGACCCAAAGGCACATAGTTTCTCTTGATTCCTGAAGAGATTTTGAGGTTTAATCTTTCACTGGTTCTACAGGGAGCAGTCACAATAATAGAAATACCAGACAAAATACGAAAAGAATAGTGTTTTTACAAAGTTTAACCTTTTCAGCACTATTTACTGTAGCTTTACTTGTGCGTAGCATGCAGTGTAGTCTACATTTTCTTGCCTGTATTTTATCCAGCTTCTCATTAGTAGGATAATCAGTTAAGATCAGCATCATGTCTGCTTTAGATTTTATGTTATTTGTGATATTATTATTTTGGGCTATTAAAGAAACAAATAAGCTACATGCTAATGTCGTAGCTCTCCATGCTAACATGCTGATGTTAGGCAGGTTTACCATGTTCACAATCATACTTTAGCTTGTTAGCATGCTGACATTTGCTACTTAGCAACAAACACAGAGTACAGCTGATTAGCTTGGCAGGTATTCGGTCGTAAACCAGGTACCAAGTATTAGACAAAAAGAAAATATGACCTGATAATGGCGCCAGAATTCAAAGGCAGTAGAATTCATCCATAAACATGGCAACAAAGACATTTTTTCCTGACCCCTGATGGTGAACAGCAGGAAATGTCGAGGCTAGACACAGCAGAATAATGTCATGTGCTGTTTTCACTTAAAATGTTGGATTTGAAGCCTTCTCACTCAGGAATGTGTTGTGGTGGTTTGCTTGTAGCTCCCCTACTACATCATGTATAGGCTGTGGAAGGAGTTCAGGCAGAACCTGGCCAAGGAATCATAAGAATCATAAGAAATTATGTTCTTATGTCAATCGGGAAAAATCCTTTTTTACTGCCTTATTATAGTACGGTATTTCTATTGTTTTGTTCCCTCCACTGTTTGCCCCCCATGTTCATGTTTGACCCTTTGTCCTCTCTCTGGTCTCCAGGGCGACCTGTTGAACCCATGTCGGTGTGACGGCTCAGTGCGTTACACCCACCAGCATTGCTTGCTGAAGTGGATCAGTGAGCGAGGCTGCTGGACCTGCGAGCTCTGCTGCTACCGCTTCCACGTCATCGCTATCAACATGAAGAGGCCGTGGCAGGTAAACAAGGCTGGTTTCACCCCAAAACAGCAGCTGATTTCATGGGCCGGTTCCGGTTCTGTTTAAAATTGCCTCAGTTAGGGACTCTGTTTGGAGGTGATTGCAGTGAGAACCATTACACTGACTACACTTCAATATATTGTCGCCTGTGGCAACAAACAAACACTACTTACACATTACTGTACACTACACTCTACTTTCAATCAGTAAAATATTGACCACATGATCAATATATATTTATATGATGTTCATCATAGTAAAAGTAGTAAATGAAAGAGATAAAAGGGACAACTGTAGCATTTATATGAAAAAGTATTTTTTAAGAATTAAAAAAGGAAAAGGATTCTTCTTGTAACAAGTAAAGTTTAAAACAAAATGAGCAAAAGCATCTTAACAATTGCGTTATTTACAGATTCAACATGATGATTTGAGAGATGTCGAGGCTGGATTTTCAAATTTAATTGGATTAAATGTTTATTAAATCCTGAATCAATTTGCTATGTGGTGTGCTCGAATTAGCAAATGACAACATGTGCTCCGAACTTTACGACAAAGTCTGTGATCTGACATCATTAGTCAATGCCTACCAAACCAAAAACAGAGATTTAAAGTGTACACTCATCTGAGCACCACATGATGCTAAAAATGCTAGTCAGTCTGAATTATTAACACTGAAGTTGCAAATTATTGGAAACACACTTTGTATTAAGATGGAGGTTTAAATGATCAGTGAAAAAGGCGAGTGCTCTTCTTGAGGAACAGATTTGCTGTTTAAATGCCTGACAAGCAATGTGACACCAGACTGCAGCCATTATATCCTTTATGGCTTTTTTTTACTGCTTTTTACAGCCATAAACCTTTTGAGGTTACAGTTTTTTTCCCACCGAGCGTGCTCTCTAAATTATTATGGAGGCATTAACAAGTGATTGTTTTTACAATCCCTGATGTGTCGACCCACCACTTAGATTTATGCTCAGAAAAATTCACAGCTTCTCTGGTCGAGGAGAACAGCCACACAGAGCTGAACTCGTAAAAGCAGTTTCGCTGGCAACCTGACAAATTAGCCCACCTGCGTCTGTCAGAGCCCTTCTGCAAAAGGGTTTACTTGCACTCAGTTTCAAAACCCAAATCTACAAGTGCACCTACGCTATGATTATGTAAATGTTTCTTCTTCTTGACCGCCTAACAAACACTTTAATAGCATTTTTTTTTTATTCTTTATGGATGACACTCACAGAAATAAGTGAACAAATCTGCCCCAAGTGCACATTCTAACCTTTTAAAAGCACAGTATGTAATTTCTGCTGCTATCAAAACAAATATCAAAACAATTACATCAAAATGTGTCTTGATGATGTCATAAAGTACTGTGGGATCATGGGAGTTGAGGAAAATCCATCTGACGTGACTCCGAAATTATTTTCACAGACAAGGTCATGTTTTAGTTTAGCTTAGTCACCTTTGCCAACTTCCTTTCTCACTCTTTGACGTAGCCCATGTTTCCCCAGTAGTTATGTGACCATTAGCATTTAGCGCAAAGCACCAGTGCACCTAGCATCACACAGCTGCTAGCATGGCTGTAGATTGTCATTGAAAATGCAACAACTTGAAGTGGCTATGATCAATATTTTTATGATAACGATGCATCAGATAATGCGCAACTTTACTGTTTTGGTTACTCTTAGAATCTGTTTCAGCCACAGTAGGCAGCTGTTTTCAGTGAAAAAGCTCTAAAAAGAACTGTACAAACAAACAGAAGACAGACAGACACACATTTATCAGGTGGACACAGCCACAGTTCAGACAAATCAGCAACAAATGTTGCTCCGTAATGGGTGGCTCGTTAACATGTTCACCATATCAATGCAGAAGTCGATTATATGTCAATGCTGTTCACAGCTTGTTTCTGCTGCCACCAAGTGGCCAAAAATTGAAGGTTTAAAATGTTCATATCAGTTTCTAATAAGACACCATTTATAGTTATAAGTTATTACTAACAGCTTGAAATAGATCATTTATTAAAGCCTCATACATCAGTTATAAGTCATTAATAATAATAAGAACTTTTGGTTTCGCGATTGGGAAATAGCTTTCTGGTTTGTGTGTATCCTCCTCCACCATGACACTAAGATGGTGAACAAGGTCAACTGTATACCTGCTAAACATCAGCAACTCCAGCCTACAGTCTTGTTAACAAATCGCCTGTGGAAAAAATCTGGTGGTGTGGAGTTTCAAAGATCTGAGCATTTAATAAGCAGGATTAGGAAAAATGCAATTAGGTTGCATTGTGGGAAGTGTAGCATTCAATGTTTTTGAAGCTTCAGACATATTCTGGGCTCTAAATCAGGATATTTCTGTATCTGTAGTAAAGACTTTATTTTCAGTAAAACATAGAAATAATGATGGTTGTTTTTCGTAGCTTGAGGCAAACGTAGCGTTGACTGTGAACCTGCTGAGTGTTTCAGTTTCCTCTTGAGATCTCTGCTGTCAGTATGGAGCCCCAGGATCCCTTCAGTCCTCATTTCCTCTAAAGCTAAACAGATAGAGACTCCTGAGGCTTAAAATATCTGCATTCTGGACCATTTTTCTCACTGAAGAACATTCAGGCCTTTTCAGATCTGTTCGCTCCAGATGGGACTTGAATCACCGGCAGACTGAACAAACAGCTGAGGCTCAGCAGAGCTCTGCTTTCTGTCCGCTCAGTCTGCCTGAAGTCTTTTCTTCTGAAACAAGCAATGTGCAGCTTCACAATCATCCACTCAGCATCAACAATTTTCTGTTTTCATGTTGTTTTCATCAAGTTTTTATTCTGTACTTTCTGTTTTCTCCTCCTCCACTCTCCTATTTCCTATTTTCTCTTGCTATTGATTTGGCTCTGGCACATAGAGCTGTCCTCCTGTTTCCACTTCTTCTTGGCCTCCTTCATCTCCTTTTTAGAGATTCTGTTGTACTTGTAGGAGGTTTTCAGTGCAGCTCAAAACTGTCTGGTCATGACTTTGTGCTCCCGCCTTCTGACATAACCCGTCCTGTGGTTTTCTAGCCAGGTGAAGGTCCTGCCAGTCAGGACAGTAGAGAGGATAGACTCTTTCAGCAACAAGGCAAAGTTATTCAGTGGTAGTAGTTTGTTTTTCTGACTTCTCAAACTTGCACTGACTGATATTTTTGGCCACTTCCAGCGGAAACAAGTTGTAAACAATGCTGAGATATCACCCGTTCAGTTGATATGGTGAACTTCTGGCAACATTAGCATTAATTTTGAGTCGTGTTAGTGCTAAATGCTCCACTGTGTTCACAAGCTAGTCGCTAACTGTGCTGAGCAGGTAGGATACACTGTGTTTATAGAGCTTTTACTCTGAAAACAACTGCCTGTTATTTTCGCAGGGAGGTAATAAAACCAAAACAATGAGCCGAAAGACACTATAAAGCTCTTGGGAAATTAATCTGTGGATTAATTGCTACAAGCCACACCTTTCACTTTACACATAGTGGTCTGATCTATTGTTGTCATAGAAATATTAATTATACCTGCTTTAAATGGTAATTTATTTTAACATGAGCCATGATTCGTATTGGTTATGTTAATACTGTGACATTACTAAAATAAATAGAGTCTGATGGGTCAAGGAACTTGAGCAGTCGGTCGATCCGACAGGTTGGAAACAAGCATCACAGCTTAGTTAGAATAATTTGTGTAATTATTTTACTGCACCACTTTTGTCCTCTTTAATGTTTTCCGGTGCAATGAAGTATGTTTACTAACTTTTCAGATGGGCCCATAAGCTGCATGAAGTGTTGATTTGTTTTCCAACTTGTCTGATTCTCTAACTGCCTGAGCTTTTGGTCCCATCAGACTTTGGACTAGTGACGTCACAGTGTTCCCAGACCTCAGCAATGTGCTTGTTGGGTACAACGTTATTATTACTGATAATAGAATTATGTCAGGGGCAAAAAGCAGAAACCATGCAAAACTTTTTTTTTTGATATCTGCATCTGTAAGTTGTACTATCAGCCCAAAACAATGGAATGAAACTGAGAAGTTAAAAGCTTAAAAACTGTAAAGGGACTATAAAGTCTTTGGTTAAAAAAAAGTATTTCTAATGATTGTGTACTGTTATGATCCAGAGTAACAGGGACACATGTCCATTTTAAATGAGTTGAGCTCCACAAATGAAATTCCATTAATCATTATTGAGTCAGGGTGATGGGAAAAACTTCAGCGAGATCTCAAACATTCTCATTCTACATTTTAACTCAGAAAATAAACTAAAACTATCTACTTGGCTAGATACATGAGATGCAAATAAGTAAATACGTATTTTTGTGATGTCATTGAATTATCCATTTGATCAGAAATGCCACTTCTGAACAGACATAGCTTTCAGTGTGTGTTTCTTACTTTTAACATCCTGCGGGTGGCGCTGCTCAGAAGTTTGCTCCAGTTGAAGGACAGTCTGCCCCTCAGGGTTTGTGCCTTCACAGACAGACATGAAGAGGTCTGAACATACAGATGGAACCATTTATCACAAATATTACCAACACTAATGATGCCAATACAGTAATTGCTGCTGCTGCCAGTCAGGTCAATATTAGAATTGATCTTAACGTCATAAATATTAAAGGACACTAAAGGACGGTACCCACCCATCCACAGCCTGTTTACCCTACTGCCTTCTGGGAAGAGATATAGAAGTTTCTGCTGCCGCACCACCAGACTGCAGAGCAGCTTTCCCCCCCAAGATATCAGACTTTTAAACTTATTCATCCTCAGCACTGCTCCATTGATTATACTTTATTTCTATTTACCATTTTGCTTTTATATTACTTTATTGTCTGCTAGGAAGCAGAAGGGAGTTAAAAACACAATTTCACTCTATAACCTGTTGTCTTGTGACAAAAATAAATCTACCTACCTACCATAAAACTAGAGGGATCAAAATATTTATCTTGTGATTATACACTTTTCATGCAAAAATAACTAGGTATAACTTCTGAAGTGCTGCCACAGCTCAAATGTAAAGTAATTAGGTCCTTACAAGTATGATGTCAGATGAAAACAAATTCACACAAATATGGTTTTGGAACATTTAACCTGTGACACATTAACATACTGTAGAAGCATGCAATTTTAAGATATTTTCATGTGAAATGAAAGACATCACATACAAGGTACAAGGTTGTTTATTAGTCATACAGCACAAGGCTGTATAGCCTGTAGCAACATGTAAATGCTCCCTATTTGTATAGCGCCTTTCTAGACTTTGCGCTTTAACACTACATCGCATTCACCAATCACACACATTCATACACTGAGCCTAAGTGCTTAAACAGAAACTAACAATCACACACATTCATACACTGAGCCTAAGTGCTTAAACAGAAACTAACAATCACACACATTCATACACTGCGCCTAAGTGCTTAAACTGAAACTAACAATCACACACATTCATACACTGAGCCTAAGTGCTTAAACAGAAACTAACAATCACACACATTCATACACTGAGCCTAAGTGCTTAAACAGAAACTAACAATCACACACATTCATACACTGAGCCTAAGTTGCTTAAACAGAAACTAACAATCACACACATTCATACACTGAGCCTAAGTGCTTAAACAGAAACTAACAATCACGCACATTCATACACTGAGCCTAAGTGCTTAAACAGAAACTAACAATCACACACATTCATACACTGAGCCTAAGTGCTTAAACAGAAACTAACAATCACACACATTCATACACTGAGCCTAAGTGCTTAAACTGAAACTAACAATCACACACATTCATACACTGAGCCTAAGTGCTTAAACAGAAACTAACAATCACACACATTCATACACTGAGCCTAAGTGCTTAAACAGAAACTAACAATCACACACATTCATACACTGCGCCTAAGTGCTTAAACAGAAACTAACAATCACACACATTCATACACTGAGCCTAAGTGCTTAAACAGAACTTAAACTCCAGCCCCTGCTGCAGCCTGAGAACCACACAACTATCCATAGGCTATTTTTTGGTTTAATTAGTCCATAACCAAAACGGGTCAAACAGGAGTCAGGACAACTGCCCGTACTTTCGAGACTGTCCCGACTTTTTCGTGACGTGGTCACTCTACTTAGGATAACAAGAAGCCCACTGAGTCACTGCACCTTCAGTTGCAGCTAATGTAGGCTAACTAATCAAATGGTTTGGTGTTGGCAGATTTGGCAGCTGTTAATTGCAGTGTTTACTGGAATTTTCTGGCATTGTCCGTTTACCATTGGTCTGAAGGATGGACAGCAACAAAAATATTTAATCTTCATGATGCAGCCTGTCTCACAGGTCTTCAAAGAGCAGAGGCTACTTGCAATAATATTGCTACATTTTGTTTCCCTTCCTCAGCCCGCCTGCCTTTAGATAGAGCACGAGAGGAGAGAGACAGAGAGAGCACATTGCTCACAGCTTCAGGGCTTATCTGCGACTTCTGAATGGTCCCTAGCAAAATTGTGGTCAATACATTTATATAAATGTTGTGGGTCAGTGTCTAGTCAGTCTATAGCTACACAAACGGGTAACAGCTGCGCAAAGTAGTGAGAGAATAACATGACACCTGACGCTCTGTGCGCTGTGAAAAAGGATTCTGTAGTCATGTAGATTTGAATTAATGTATTAGGTAAAAAATATTCAATATGATTGTGTTTTTGATTTTGAGGCAAATATTTAATTAAAATTTCAAATAAAAATGTTTGGGATAAAATACATCCATTGTAGTTAAATAAAACATAAGCATTATATTTATCTAACCCCAAATAGAGAGAATATTGAGTGAAATCAAATTAATGTGATCAGGCAAATTTTAATTGAAAAGCACTTCCTGTAAAGAATTCCCATGATGCATGGCGTAAAGGGAGTTTTGTTAAAATTAGCTAATATGTCTCCTGTTTGTTTGAAATACAAAATTTACTTTGTGAATTATGTTTTTTTAAACGTGTCTGTTTAGAATATAGTGCTTTTTGTTTGTAATTGTCATTCTTTTGGTTTTTTTTTTCTATACAGTCTATGGTTTACTATTGAAACCAGGAGTGAAGTGCCTGTTTTATTTGATAAGTTTGGCTGCACTGGCTGTTGACTGATGTATCAAAAGCAATTCCCTTGTAAGGTTAAGTTTACAAACAAATAACAATGCATTTGCGGCCGTGCGGGGGTAACCTAGCCGGTGGCCTGGGTCGGCTCTCCCCGTGCACCCGTGCTATCTTCCTTAGTAGATGATTAATACTCATATATCATTGATATATATATAATTATATTTATTTTTATTAGTACTATTTACAGGGAGATTCTTTTTCAAATCAACTCAATATTTTTGATTAGTTAGTAATTAATTCTGTACTGTTTTCTATTTGAATCTTCTCATATTAAATGGAAACTATTAAGGGTCTCATTTAATTAATATTTACTCAATACCAAACACTGTGAAATTTAATTAATAATATTGCTTGTAATCTGTTGCCTAATTTTTATTGAGTAGATATGGTGTATCTTTTCTTACAGTGTGTCCTGCTCAGAGACACTTCGCTCTGTTTGACTGTCTCTCTGCTCCAGGATGCTTCATTCCCTCTAAAGCGGCTGCGAGCTGCACTTTATCAGAGGTGCTGAAGTGAAAATTAGTGGGGAATTGTGGTGATTTTTCTGTCTGATCACAAGTGTTTTCAGTTTCGGTTTTCTTCCTCTCCTCCAGTAGGCTACAAGTCAAATTATTTAGGTACTTATATAGGCCTAACTGTTTTTAAAAACATGGGCCAACGATCAGCCCATAAAGAATAGGCCTATACTGGGATGGCCCAATCACATCTCTTACAGCACCCACTGCCTCCCCCTCTGCTCAGCTGTTTCTTGTGTTGTGGGCCAAAAAAATGATAATTCACCAAATGCGCGAAAATAACCGATATATCAAACAAATCAATATGATACTGATTACTGTATTACAGTCCATTATATTTTTATATTCTGAATTGTCACCTGCCACCTAAATTTTGTTTCCTTTCTAAAGACATTTCCACCATTAATTGGGGAAGAAAATGTCTCCAGAATTCAGGAAATTAATGGTTTAATACCCCCACACCCCCCTATTGAATATTATGTCAATAAATAATTCTTAACTGAATTCAGATTAATTAAGGATTAATCATTGAGGTGAAAAGGTGCCATATGCACATTTAAAAAGACATTTTAAGCTACTTCAGGCATGCCTGTATGTATATAGACTCAGCTGGGATTAAATTAAATGAGAAAAGTTGATCAGGAGAAACATACCTGACAGCCTTACTACATTATATTAGGCTATATTCTTCTTATTTTGAATTGTCACCTGAGACATTTCCTCAATAAATTGGTGCAATGAAATTCACTAGAATGCAGAAAATTAAGTGTTTAAAGCCCAAATTTTTGAGGGGGAGGATCCCCAGACCACCCCAATTTAATATTATCAGTGTTACTTATTATCAATAATATATGTAGGCTATATATATATCATTTACTGTTGCTTTATAAATGTACTTTGGGTAGGCAGCAATGGGGGTGGGGGGGTTAAAACATGAAAGATTTCTGTGTTGGGCTAAGACCCCAATGTTTCAAGAGCCTGGAAACGCCCCTGTCACAGTTTGACTTCGAGATGAGATTTGGGGTTTCTCAGCTGAGCATTACTGATGAAAACAAACTTTTACCATCAGATAATTTGATCTCTTTTCAATTGTCCAATGTTACACTGTGTAAGAAAACACTTGTCTATCAACTTGGGAGGGTTAACAGGTTCTAATTCTGTGTTCATAACCTCTTGGTTTCCCTCTTAAATTCCCCCTTAAGACTTAACCACACAACTCTGAGATCATTTATGCCTTTATCATGGAGCCCAAGTCCATGAAAATACATGCGGAAACAATTGATGTGCAGAAATGATTTTGCACACAGTTTATAATCATTAAACCCAACATTCAGCCTGATGTAGGCTATTTTATGTCTTTGGAAATTTTGCGATCTCCTGTACAATTTAGGATAATTTATTGTTGGTTTAAGTAAGTTTGTTTGTACAACATGAGTTGTACAGTCAGCAGTCGGTCCAGCTCTTCAGATTGTACATTAAGAGCATGTTTTGCAGTCATACCGGTACATGTATATAGCCTTCTTGCATGCATTGTGCAGTCATATCGTGTACACGTACACACACACACACACACACACACACACATATATATATATATATATATATATATATATATATATATATATATATATAATCTCCTTCTTCAGAGGAAATGCATGTGTTATCAAAACGGTTCCATATGTTTTTAATGCACACATGTAGATATGGATGGATTGCAGTAACATAGTTTTCATGGCACCATAAATTATTCAAGTAAAGGCAATTTATAGGATACTGGTGCTCCATTATTAATATTATTAATATATGTATAGTGATGAAAGACTGGCTTGAATGAAGTGAAGAAATGATCTCCATCCATTGACCCTGAAACAAACGACTGTGAGGAGCTTTGCACTCCAACAGATTCTTAAGGGAGACTGTTTTCATCAGAAAATATGACAGCAAAAGACAAACATAGTCTTACACATAGAGGTGGCAGATCATGAAACGCTGATATGAATAGTTTTCATTTTAACAATCACATTAGTTTGAAGGCACTGACAAACGACCTATATTTTGTTTTCAGTCCAAGGCATGTATTTCCTCTCTTCTCTGCGTGTAGTGGCAGTCCATCACCATCACCCTGGTGGAGAAGGTGCAGATCATCGCAGTGTTCCTGGGCTCTCTCTTCCTGGTGGCCAGCATCTCCTGGCTGCTGTGGTCAGCTTTCAGCCCGCAGGCCATCTGGCAGCGCCGTGACGTCCTCTTCCAGATCTGCTACGGCATGTACGGCTTCATGGACTTGGTCTGCGTAGGTGAGCCTAGGAATGATTTATACAGCTGTCAACAGCAGAACGTAAAACACAGCGAATAGCTATACTCTGCCATCAATTATTTATGAAATATTTTGTATCGTCATGTTTATGTGTGGAACTGTTTGACATTTTGAGTCACTTTTGTTGTTTGGAATTGTTCATCTGTTGTTGTAGCTAACAGGCCAAATCTAATAGAGATCTGAAAACATTTTAAAAACTCTTTATCAAAACAAAAAAGTCTGAACTTACAGTTTCCCTCTGGTCTAAACCTGTTGTACATAGAGATGTCCATTTTTTTAAACCCTCTTTGTGAAACCATTTCATTTGTTCTATGGAAAAGAATAGTAATTCTTTTTTTTCTGTCTAGGTTACAAATTCCACAGCACAGATGGAGCATAGCTTTAGTTCAGGCAGAGCACTGAAGTCGCAGCTTGCATGGTTGGCATTAACTGCTTCTTAAATGCTTCACCATCATCATCCTCATCTTTACATCTTTACAGCTCGTACACAGGCTGCTGGACTACCAGCTGACGATCAACATCCACTCATGTTTATACAGGTGTACACAACAGCCAGTATACTTCTCACTAACTACTCTGATGATACTTTATGATGTTTTTACACTGTGGCCTACAACTGGAGCCCTGTTTATACTCTCTCTCTTTTACCTTTGGCAAATTGCGCAACATTAAAAGTATGGAGCTTCAGCATGCAATCGTACCCAACGATGTACAGACAACTATTAATGAATACTTCGAAACTTAAAAACGTGATAATTCTTAGGCAAGTTCTGGTAGGATTTTTAAGCAGATACACGGACCTTTAATTGACATCAGAGATACTAATAATATCGTCAGAAAATGTAAGTCACACTAACTCTAAAAACATTCATGTCTGTGTCTTTAGATTTGACTGAGTTATGACTTAGAGATGTTAATTAAATTTTTTTGAAAATCTGAATTGGGGTTTAAGAGATCTTCAGGCTCTTAAGATGATCTTTGGTACCATGAAAGCATTGCTAAGGTTTCACATTAACCTGTGTACCAGAGGTAAGTCAGGTTAGAGTTTGAGCACCAAATTTTTGGTGATACCTAAAAATGTGAAATGATCAGAGAATCAACATTTCCTTTCATTTAATTTTTGTCATGGTAACAGGCTTGATTGTCCATGAGGGGGCAGCAGTGTACAACGTCTTCATGCGCTGGCGGGCGGTTAACCTCCACTGGGATGTTCAGAGCTACGACAAGGCAAAGGACATGGAGGAGACGAGTACCGGCCCTTCCTCACTGTCCCCCAGGACGCTTTGGTTGCCACTGGTCACCTTTGGGCCCAACGGCCCATTACACCCCACCCAGCTGGGGACGCAGCCATGGACCTGCCTCTGTTTGTCCCCCTTCTGCCCCCACCTGGTGCCTCGAAACAACCTCAGCCAGGACAGTGACTCAGGAGAGGTTGTTATTCGTGTAACATCGGTGTAACAACAGGCAGTATTTATGCAGGAACAAACACATCTGATAGGTCACACTTGGTGGTAGCTGTGCTTCTCTGGGCAGTTTATGGTCTCACACACCCTGATTGTTTTCCTCATACCAAACGTTTTCCTAATGACTTCCAATTGTTTGTCTGGTCTGGGGCCGGTCCTCAAAACAATCTCAACACTTAAATCAACTAACATGTGGTGTTTTATTTATTGCCTTTGTGTTTTATTTTCTGCAGTTTTTCAGACAGACATGAACCACACTCCCCTCCACCTGTTTTTTTCCCTAAACATTATAAAGAATTCATGTCAAGTGTGTTAGAAGGCAGTGATGGGAAAGATGATCAGATTTACAACACACGAGCATATTTTCACACATCTCATGATGGTTTAGGACAGCAGAGATGGCCGTGTCAGAGGTAATACTGTGCATGGTCAATATGGCACTGTAACCTTCTTTTAGGCACTTCTGCATTATGTAGCTTAAGGTCGGGTATGTGGGAGCTGTCAGTTTCCCAGTCGTTGATGTGAACAAGTTGGTTAGGTACAGAATATTGGCGCATGACATGAACGCAGCATAAGGGCTGATCTGTACTGAGATAAAATATCTTAAAAACATATAAAACAGATATTCTGGTAACACTTCATTTTACAGTACCACAGTTTCTTATAATGTCAAAGAAGTGAAAGTGTAGTGGTAAAATGGAGAACATTTCCCCACAATTGGTAATTTCTAATTAACAGTAATTAATAAATAATTAACATTAACTGGGTTTACTTCGGTTCAAATAGAGCAGTTATTTCAAGGAAGTCTTTCTTGAAATCAATGACCTATTTATAAAAACCATACTAACATAAATACCTGGCTCAGAACTTAGTCTTTCCTTGTAATTAGTTCCATAGAAGTGTTGTTTATATATGTTGAGGCTGTAATAACCACTAGGCTACACATCAGAAAACAATTGCTGGATGGCTGTAAAATGGTGATAAATTTCATATTTTAAGATACTTACCAATAGTGGTGCAAAAACACTTAATCGATCTAACCTGGTCTTTGTCGGGGTGTGTTCAGGCTCAATGCAAAGCGAATTTTAGTGGTGCTCCTATTGCAATATTAAGTCATGACACATTTGCTCGAGGCAGCGCAGATTACATTTAAGTGAAGACTTGTCCACTTGATTAGAGAAGAGATTAGAGATTAGATTAGATTCAACTTAAAGTGACAATTTGAGCACTTCCCAAGGCTACAGGAGCCCTCCGTGAGAAAACCGGAGCAAACTCACACACCTCTGATATGTTCAGCGATGTCTGGTGTGGTGCCCATTGATGGCTATCTCGGTCAGTTGGAGAAACAGTCGACCAGTCAAAGCTTTGTAGGCATCGTTTGACATAGCTTGATACACAGCTGCATCCATAAAGGATCGCAGTAGAGAAATGGCCACAAAAATAGTGTCAAACGTGATCGGTGGAACTGAACATATTGTTGTAGACTTATTGCTTTAGATCAAATAAACAAGTTAACTTTGACACTGTGCCCATTGAAAATGACGTTGGTGAGTGCTGATTGGTTAGGGCTACCCAAAACAAAATGAGCCCACCCTCCTTCCAAGACATAAATTAGCTATAGCTAACATGAACACAGTGTCAGGCCAAAAAGTGAATCAAAAGGCAATTTAGTCTGATTACCAGGCAAGATATTGTAAGCTGGATATGGCTGATACCTACGGAAGCCCTAAGCGGCCATCGATTCATATCTTTATTTTACTCCGTTTTCCCGTGTTAACGGAATAATTATCTCGTGATCTTGAGATAACAAAACAGTAGTTTAACGCAGGGGTTGGCAAGAACGTTTCTTAGTGTTAATTTCAAGGTGAATTAGCTCAATGAGTAAGTTATATAACTTGTAGTTTCAAGATTGTGAGTTTGATCCTCACAGAAGACCAACTTAAAAAAAAAAATCTTATTCATCTTCAACAAAGTTGTTATGAAGATGACTGATTCACATGTTCACAATTAATCACGTGCTGGAGTGTGCGCATCCCGGCAATTGGTCCACATTCATTAACCTATGGACTTTTCATTTCCCCATTATTCCCAGGCAGAGGAAATTCATCCGCTTCTCATTCTGGGGAATCCATTTAACTACACATTTCCTGATGGCTATTTCAGAACCTTTGAAATAGCCGTCGGGAAATGTGTGATTGGATTCCCCTAAATCTCTTGATAACAACTTTGTTGAAGAGAATGATTAAAAACACACAAAAGAAGAATAAAAAAACTTTCCAGAAAAGTCAAACCTGCATGTCTGCAAGTCTGGCACTCTACCAACTGAACTAAACTCAGTAAATCAATGCAAATATTATCACAAACAAACACACCTGCCGCTGTATTCAGCTATGGTTCGTTATCTTGAGATCATGAAATCATTATCTTGTTATCACGGGGAAACGGAGTAAAATAAAAACATGAATTGATGGCCACTTAAGGCTTCCGTAGATACCTGTACTGTAGCCTTCATTGACTGTTTTTGGCTAATAAAGAATCTCATCAGGCTCAGCTGTCCTTATCAGCTTTAGCTTCACTTTGTCAGCCTACGTACAACTAAGGCTGTCCTTAGAACACTTGGCACGTTAACATGTTAGCATGCTACAATTGGCACATGAACATGACTACGGTTAGCATTTAAACATAATAATGTTCAGTAGAATAATGTTGAATGTAATTTTGAGAATGTTAGCATGCTAACACTTGGTTATTCTAGGTCCAGAACTGTACTGTAAGAGTTTGTATAGTTTGGAGTTTCAAACTGGATCCAAAACAACTTAACTATGTAGAGAGCTTTGTATCCATCACTGTTTCCTTGGGATAAACCTGCTTTATGTTTTGTACAAATAAAACTTACCTTTTAAAAGACCAGATCTTTCCCAGCAAGCATTTGACGGGTGGAGAAAATTTCACAGATGCAAATGAGCACAAAAAATACCTGATGTCAGAAAGATATTGGGGTTTCAGTTTTACACAAGGTGCAGGCAGCAGAAATGGACATTTTTAACTTAATTATCAGATGATTTGTGCCGGTATAAATACAGCCGTTGAAAATTGTGGTTTTGAACTGTCTGTATACCATTATGTTGAGCTTCCAGGAGCCCTGTGGTGTTTGGGTTGTGGGGTTTTGGGGTGGTGGTTTGGGGCTCTGTTCTCGACCTTGTCATTTGGGTCGTTTGATTTTTTTTGGTGCCTTAGGAGGCTGAGTGACAACGTTGCAATGCGCAGCACAGAAATGACTTGAATGTGACTTTCCCGTTAGCTGTATTTCTATTTATTTTGAATGTAACATGGATGTAATGTATAAAGAATATTTATATATACAGAGAGCAGTGTGGGTTATTTGCCTGATGTCAAATTGAATTTAAGTGCATTTGGCTTTAAGATTGTGTTGCGAGGCAACTATGATGGCTACTGCAGGATGAATGTGAAGGGCACCTTCCTGAGAGCTGAAGTCACTACATAGAGGTGACAGCAGTAACCTCTTCACATTGAGACCCAATGGACAAAAGAGGAATCTAATGTTGGTGAGTCTAACTTTATACAGTATGCACAGTTAATGGCAGGAGCTTTTTTGCCCTATAGGTTAAAATGTTGTATCTCAATTCCTTAATTTGTCAAACAAAAGATCCTAATGGTATTTTACTGACCAGAATTTTATAAAGGTCTCAGTGTGCTTCAAGCAAAGTGCTGGTTGGGTTGTGTAACAGCATCTGAAATCACCTTTCCAATGGCAGAATCGTGGGTGGCTGAGTCAGACCATTTCCCTGATACAGACAATCTGACAATTATGTGCATTTTCTGCCGTGACAGTGAAGGTAGGAAGAGTTCAAACTTCTCTTTCAAACTCCCTTTTTTGATTCTTCACACAACTACTTCTGTCACTTTTAATGTGTACAACAGAAGTATTCACTAGCGTGTGTTTTTATTCCCAGATCTGGGAGACGGTGGGACGCAGTCAGGGGGAAGATATGATTGAGGGCTGTTTGCCCCGCCTTTAAGTGTCGCTATTCAGAACAGTTATTATCTTGTGTTTAAACATCTCTAATGTTATTTAAGATTCCTACAGAGATAGTATAGTTGAGAAGTTATTTTGAAGTTGTCCACTTCAGAAGATATCTGCCCCTGAATGGACTCAACTCAAGCATTTACTTTTAGCATAGCTGCTACACTTTACCTGGTCCTGTCATAGACGTTTGTACACCAGAGATTTCGACACCTGTAGTAGTAGTAGTATTGAGTAGTAGCAGCGAAGTACTACTGTAGTAGTAGTACACAGTAATAGCAGCTGTAGTACTAGTAGCTGTTAAGGCTGTAGTTGTAGTAGTTTTATTTACCAATTAATTACGAAGTACTCAAAACATAAAACTACTACTGTTGATTCAGTCTATGAAAATGATGTAAAATAAAGAACAAGACTTTACAGTGAATGCGCCCTTAGACCAAATATGCAACCATTTATTGTTAGAATCATCCTTTCAATACATAACACAGCTAATACAAATAAAAAAAACAAAACAAGATACCAGTATTGTGTCAAAGATCCACTGTCAGTTGGATAGTTGCGTAGAGAAAAATACAGCAAGATTTTTATCTTGAGAAAATCACCACATAGACATCATTCAGGAGAAAAAATAGAAGGCAAAGACTTACAGTATAAAATGTACAGCCACATGATTATATACTATATATATATATATATAACATTGCACATTATACCAACAAAAAGAAACCACGCATAGAATACAAAATAAGTGTACACAATTTACAACAAGGCACTGTGGGGAAATAACCTGCACACACGTCTTTGGATGGATCTGCCGCCCGCGGAGCTCCAGTGAAATGTTGTAGGAATGTTACACTGCAAACATTCAAGCTGAGCAAGTCATCCAGACTAAAATCTGACTGATCGCATCAAAATCCAACAGCAACTTCTAATGTTTCAATCACTGCAGCCTAAAGGGGCATTATGTGATGTTTCAAAGTCAGCAGACAATAACCGCTACATCTCAAATGTAACAAAAAAGCCCCCAAAAAGTAACCTGTATATATCCCAGTAAATCTCCATAGTTTAAACTGGGATGTTCATGTTGTGTTAATAAAAAATAGCTACACTTTTAGTGGTGATTGAAAACCATGTTTTCTGACAAGTCCTTGGTTCTTATTAAGAGGGGGGACATGGATTAAATGCTGTATTTAGTACATACGAATGTACTTTTAAATATGTATGTAATTTTATAGAAAGTGTTTATGGACAAAATAACTTGGAAAAAATAACAGGAATGTTAGATTACGGCTAATCCAGCAAATTTGATAACTGATAAATCAATGCACTTCATTGCCTTGGTACAAAAATCACATAAAAATCCAACATTGGCATAAAGCCGCCCAGTGCAATGATTTGCTTACAGTATATATAGACAATATATACAGCCAAACCTTAGTTCTCTGAACCGTGGTGCATCTCAGTGACTTAACGACGCTGCAGATGGACTTTCACGAAAAACAACTGATGTTGGTGTGTCAATGTATGCCGCCAGTATTAAGAAATTAATACGTTTGTTTCTAGAAAAACAGAATTTCAAGACTTTTACAAGAGTTTTGCTTGAATAACTTGCGTAGCTGGACAGATTCTGCAGTGTAAAAAAATACATTGGTAGTTAAAGGGAACGTGGGCTCAACTTCCAAGATTCTGGTTACACAGGAACACGAGTGGCACCGATAAGACAAAGTCTGACTTGAGTTTGTCCTCTATTAGTTTGAACAGGCACTTTTGTGACCTACGTATCATAAGCAAATCAATCAAAACAATCAATCACAATCTTGAAATGCTTGAGACGAGTACAGTTGCATATTATTTACAAGTGAACAGATCGTCCCGGAGAAAGTTTGTATAGAAGGTCAGGTCCCAGAGTTTTCCAAGCAGAGGAAAAGGCTTATGGGCTTTAACTATTTTCTTTCTTTTCTTTTGTCTGTCTGCTGTTTTTTTTATTATTATTATTTTTTACATTCGGTCATGTAGATACACCTCTCTTGTAACTTGCATACACATGACACACAAACATGCACACACAAACAAAATCCTCAGTAAGAAATAGCCCCATCCTGCAACAACAGTCCTTGTCCTTGCAAGACATTAGTATTCCAAAAAAGACACATCTGCACTTTCAGAGTGACCTGACGAGATAACAAGGTTGTGTTAAACCTTCAGCTGGTTTTCTTTGGTGTGAGAAACAGTGGAAAAAGTTGAATTTGTTGCATTTGGCTATTTTACAAGTCCAGTAAGTGTCAGGATGAAGGGTTTTGATTAATTGTTTGCCGTATACTTTTGTTATTATCCAATCATTTGTGTCCTTAAATGAAATTAATGGATTTTGAATTTTGTGTTTAAACAAAGAGATGAACAACTTTTCCTGGTTTCGTTCACTTCCTAGGTGGCTTTCCACACTGCTACATGGAGATTTATCTGCAGCTCCCACCACATTGTCAGACTGCACTGTCCATAACAACCATGGGTTTGGACAGTACACACTTGGCCACTAACATATTCCCCATTGTTCACAGCTGAGGAATTCTCCTTTTTGGACAAGAGGTTCACCCAAGGACACTTGTGCAGAGCAGATCTTTGTCGTTCTGATCTAGTAGGTGTGGATGGTTAATGTTTTGGAATGAAACCAGTTACAGTTGAGCTAGTTAACATTAAGAGCATTGTGGTTTGTCTCCAGCATTCACAGAGTCAGCCTGACACGTCAAGCGTACGAGCTGGTCTCTCCAGAGCGCGGAGGATGGCCATCCACGCACAGCCCGTGGCGGCCACGCTCGACCTTCTGTGGCACTCTGGCAGGTGGCCATAAGGTCAAAGGTTAAAGGGCAGAGTTCACCAGGCACTGCACTGACTGCCGTGGCTGCTGACAGACTGACAGTTGCTGTAGCGCTTCTTGACGATCATGCTGATGTAGGCCTTCATCAACTTGGCGATGTCCATGACCTGCAGAGGAGGAAGGCGAGAGTTTATACTGTTCACGATGTTTCAAGATTAAAGGTGGGTGTTTCATGTGATTATCTGTATGCTTTTCTCGATACATTTCCGACCAAAATAAATGAATCCCAATAGAATTGCAGCTCTCAGTGGATTTGTTTGCCACGGCAAATTTGTGCAGGGCTTTTCTCTAGAGCTGAACTTATGAGCCATTGGCTAATTGTAAAATTATTTGACAGTTCTGAACACATCATTCACATAATTTGTTGTGTTGTACCAACCATCTGTGTTTCAAAGACCAGCTCTCGGCCCTCCACGGCGATCTTGTAAGCGTTGGGCAGCGGAGCTCCGAAGGAGAGAATCTGTTCATACGGGAAAACCTCCAGAGGCCACGGCTCTCCTCGTTTGTACACAGATATGGCCTCCCGGCTCACGCCCAACCACAGCTCAGAGGGAAACGCTCCGTCTCGACACTAAATCACACACAGAAACAAGCATGAGAGCGCTGAGGCTTGACTGATTTAAAATAAAAAGGAAGATTTGTCACCAACAATGAAATGCCTGAAGTCATGTATATTCATAAATATAAAAACGTGAGTGAGGAATAGTTACGTTGTGATCTTTTAAAATGCCATGACAGGAAACAACTATGAAGGCAGCGTAGAACCTGCTCACATGTAATCATGAAGTGGCTCTACCTTGAAGAACACTGCGATGACTTGTTGACATAATTAAAATTAAAAACTAAGATTTTAGCCAATACGAACATTTTCTGATTACTAGGCTTAGTATTGTGTGAACTATTAACTATTCTGACACTTTTTTTCAAGTTATTCAAACACGTCCTCACCTCAACGTTGAACAGGGTGGAACCGTATCCCTTCCACTCCTTCACCAGAGCCATGTATTTCACCATGGCCTGTTCCTGGCTCATCCCCTGCAGTTTCTTCCACTTGTCAATCACGCAGGTTCTCACCGCCGCTGCCTCCTCCCTCATCCACGCCTCCAGGCTGTTCTCCTCCTCCAGCTTCTGCCGACTCAGAGAGCCGCTCCTGAAGCTCCTCCTCAGCGTTCCCTCCAGGAAGCTTGAACGTTTCCTCTCGGACGTCCCTGAGCGGTCGGCCACTGAGCCGGTGCCCGGAGCGAACGTCTTGGCTGAGTTCTGCACCCTGGCCCGCAGTCGCACCATGGGGAACACCTGGGACATTTCAGGGATGTTGGTCTGGGAGCTGTGATCGCCCAGGAGGTACTGAAGTCTCAGGGCAGCCAGGAACTGCAGAGTCTCCTCAGGGGCCGGATACTGACCACGGATGACAGCTTCATGGGCCTGTAGACAGCAGACAAAGAGAGGATGTAGAAGAAAATGTTTTAATATTACATTTTAATTGAATATTTTTTAATGCGGAATATAAAATGTTTTACATATATAACGTTATATTTCACCAAATAAGCTTAAATGCATGTGTCTGATTTTGACACAAAGCTGCTCTACTAGACCTTTCAGATTAAATAATATTGATAATAAAATAAATAATATAGACTTTAAAATTAGCCACAATATGATCTAAATCAGGAATTATCAGATTTAAGACGTTAACATGAAATACAAATCTTTTTTTGGTGCTTGAACTCTATGAATTGAATTCTATGCAAAAATAAAATCCAATACCCACTTTTGACTTGAGACAGAACTGGTTAAAACTTCTCACAAAATGAGATTTAAAACAAATGTTGAAAAAATTATTCTGAAACAATGAGTCAGTTAGTCAACTGACAGAAAAAGTCTCTCACTGTGAGAATCTCACTGTGAGAATAAAGTCGGCAGCTGTTTAGATAATTGGTTAATTGTTTTAGAAATGGATCAACAAGAAGTAAAAATCTTTGGGATTTGGGCTCCTGGTCAAACAAAAAAAGGAATTTGAAGACGTTATCTTCTGCTTTAGGAAACTGATGAATCATCTCTCAGTCTGATGGCTCTGCAGAGCAGAAGAATGACTTGTTGGTTTAAATTCGGTCTCACCTGTTCAAACATGAAGGCAAACTCCACACTGTCTTTGGGAACGTTGTCTGTGTCCAAAAAGCAGTAGAGCTTGAAATAAAACTTCCAGCCGGTGTTGTGTTCGTCTGGGCTGGCTGAGAGCCTGAAGACCAGAGAGACAGTGTCAACCAAGACCGGAGGACACAAAAAGATACGCTAAAACACACACACACACACACACACACACACACACACACACAGAGAGAGACGCTTACTTTTCAAATTTGGCGAGCACGTCGGCCACCACCGTGCGGCTCTCAATGGCTTTCTCCGTGGTGTCGTTGTGTTCAAACAGAGCAAACATGTTCCTGCTGTCCTCCATGGCCAGGCCACGGATCAGCTTCTCCACCACCTGACACACACACAGATCAAGGCACAAACACTATTGAATCATCTAGAATGTGCAGATCAGATGAGATCTAACAATTCAAATAATAGATAAAAAATAATGGATAAAAAGCTTCAGATATTTACAAAAAAAATGACACATTCAGAAAAGGTGGAACATAAAAATGCTGGTTAGCCAAAACAAAAGTATGAACTGTACATTTACAGTGTATATACAACATTAAAAGAAAACTCTGTCTCTGTCTTCAAATGGGTATCACAGCTGGTCATGTCATGGTTAATTGTCTGGTTTCAATATTCAGATGAACCTCTTTTAAAGGGGACCCATTATGCATTTTCCATATTTTCTGTCATATCTATAATGTTACAATGTTGGATTGTTCATGTTAAATGTGGCCAAAACTTCAAATAATAAGGTAAACGTATTTAAAAGAAAGAAAGAAAAAAAAAGAAAAAAGAGAAGCATCTACAGTTTGTTTCAGACAGAGGCTAAAAATGAGCATGAAGGGCCAGTATAAGATAGAAAAGGATTTTTTAAAACTTTTTTGAACAACCATTTCTCTTTTTTTACTTTTATGCAGACTTCTTCAATGTACCTGTATATAATATCTTAAGACTCAGAATCTCACTAAGCACTCCATCAGCCTGATATTCCATCTGAATTACCACTTTGTTTAACTTCATTCAAACTGAATCCCTGAACATCGGAGATGTGGGACGTGATTCAGACGTCCAGGACCAGGCTAGCATTCAACACCAGCTTTTGAACCACTGTGTAATAAACATCTTAGCCTGTGTGCCAGCAGCCCCGGCTGTCACCCACCTCTCCGGCTGTTGTGTGTGAGTTGATGGTGATCTTGCAGGATCCTCCGCCATGACAGTGAACTGTGGTGCTCATGTCCTGCCGGGCCACGATGGAGCGGATCTCCTCTTGCGACGGGACGTTCTCTCTGGCTCGAATCTTCTTCAGGGAGTCGAGGGAGAAGGCGGCGTAACGATCCATCTCAGAGCCGGGGAAGAGCTCTCGAGTCCTGCAGGGAGAGAGATTTGGATTTGTTAATGTTAGAGATTACACCAACAGTTATCTAAAGACAATTTGGCGGTAGTTGCATCCCCAAAAATGCATTTTCTGATTCACAAACTGTCTTTATCCATCTGTAAACATGCCAATACCTCTTCAGGTGGAACTTCAGGTATCTGAGGATGCTCCTTGTGGGGACGAACGTGCAGGACATGCAGGCCAGGATCTTCCAGCTGCAGAGGTTTCCGGGGCTGCCAGGCTGTGGCGGACGAGTCGTCTGCTTGATAAGTTGGCAGAAGAGCTCGTCCCGCAGAGGTTTGAGCTCCTGGCCGGTCTGCAGGATACCCTGGATTATGGGCACTGGGTCAGCCACGCCCTCCAGGTGCTGCAGAGAGCTGAACACTTTGAGGGCTTCTTCCTGCAGCGTTGTGTAGCTTCTGTTTCTCAGAGCTGAGCAGGGAGGAGGGAAGCGATCAGTCATGTGGTGGATGGTGTGAGCTCATTCCTGATAATACAGCAGCTTTGGACTGGAATTTACATTTACTGATATTTCCGTCTTACCTGATGAAAGTCCCTCCTCCTGAATGTCTGTTTTTTGTGTCTATATCTGTGTGACTCACCGGTGAGGTGGATGTCGCCGTAAGGCAGTGGTAGCAGTGGTGAGTGCAGCGGGTGGTGGCTGTAGCGAAGGATGGGGTTCCTCTTGTATATCTGCTCCACCACCTCTGAGTTCAGACAGTTCTCCTGCAGAGAGCAGAGGAGCCTGACTTAAACGATGCACTGCTGAGGGTGTACTAGGGTGAACATGGTTTTAAAACGAGGACTGACGTCTTTGCATGTAGCAGGTGCATTTTCCTTTGTAGTAATTTAAGTGAGTAACTACAATGAGATTTGACTTTTGGAATTATGATGGTTATAGTCACAGTTAAATGACAAAAAATGTGTTAAGTTTGAATGTAAACAACTTTGAGCAGTTTCTCCAGTTACCTCTCTACACACATATCTACACTGAACAAAATTATAAACGCAACACATTTGTTTTTGCCCCCATTCTTCATGAGCTGACTTTCTCTATGCACACAAAAGACCTATTTCCCTCAAATATTGTTCAAATCTGTGTTAGTGAGCACTTCTCCTTCGCCGAGATAATCCATCCACCTCACAGGTGTGTCATATCAAGATGCTGATCAGACAGCAAGAGGATTGCACAGGTGTGCCTTAGGCTGGCCACAATAAAAGGCCACTCAATGTCGCAAGGGAACGTGCAATTGGCATGCTGACTGCAGGAATGTCCAGCAGAGCTGTTCCCCATGAACTGAGTGTTTATTTCTCTACCATAAGCAGTCTCCAAAGACTTTTCAGATAATTTGGCAGTACATCCAAAGAACCAAAGAATTTCTGCACAAACTGTCAGGAACCATCTCAGGGAAGCTTATCTGCATGCTCGTCGTCCTCATCAGGGTCTCGACCTGACTGCAACTTCGCACAGCCATTGAAGAGGAGTGGACCAACATTCCACAGGCCACAATCAACAACCTGATCAACTCTATGCGAAGGAGATGTGTTGCACTGCATGAGGCAAATGGTGGTCACACCAGAATACTGACTGGTTTCTGGACTATCCCCCCAATACAGTGGAACTGCAAATCGAGTGGCCTTTTATTGTGGCCAGCCTAAGGCACACCTGTGCAATCCTAATGCTGTCTGATCAGCAATTTGATATGCCACACCTGTGAGGTGGATGGATTATCTCGGCAAAGGTGCTCACTAACACAAATTTTGACAGAACAATATTTGAGAAATAGGCCTTTTGTGTACATAGAGAACAATCTTTGAGTTCAGTTCATGATGAATGGGGGCAAAAACAAAAGTGTTGCGTTTAGAATTTTATTCAGTGTATGTCACTTGAATTAGAGACTCATACGTAACCACAGACAGAGTGTGGACTGCATCTTGTTATCTGTATTTGCCCTCTGATAAACAAGGGACTTGTGTGTCCTGCCCAGTGTATTCTGGGATAGACTCTAGCCTCAAGTAACCCTGCACACAAAATGGATGGTTCTTTTAGTAACCCAGTATATTTGACTTTGCATGTTGTTTAAGAAGTTAAAAATAAAATGAAACTGAATCTGACTCCTTCAGAATGAACCTTCCCTGCATTAAAAAAATCCAATAATTAATCCATTACTTCTATCACCCTCTTATAGCTTCTAGTGGAATCTCCAACTACGTGGATGGAGTTTCTCCATCAGGTTGCAAGGAAGTTTCCTACCTTGATGTCCTGGATGAGCTGCTGGGTCGGTGTGTCGATGGGAGCTTTGGTGTCGATGACGTTCTGGATAGAGTTGGCCCAGCGTGTGGCCTCATTGAGCAGCTTACAGTAGAGACGGTACGAGTGTTTACGGCCGTACACAATCACATTCCAGTAGCCTGTCAGGGGGACCACATGAGGAGGAACAGAAAAAAACACGTCACGTCAAAGGAACAATTGTTTCTGACTGTGAGAGAAAGGTCCTGTAAGGACACAGACATATCACGGATAAATTAAGGCATTTGGCACACATACTTCAATCTCCCATTACAGATGCAAGACACCAGAATAAAATGTCAGTAAATCAAGTCTATTCTATTTCCTTTCCTTACCGGTCTCTTTGAAGACCTTTTCGTCCGGCTGAACCACTGAGCAGAGGCTGTTCAGCACCAGTGTTCCCAGCTTCAGGGCGTTACGCTCTGAGCTCTTATAGTAGTCCAGGGAATTATGGGTAAGCAGGAACCAACGCTTCTTCAGCTTTAGTGAGGCTTTTGTACTGTTCTTCATCTCTTTGTGCAACCAGCCTGGTGGAAATAGAGGAATTAGAAATTTATGTTGCTAGTTGCTTTCTTAAAGGTGAAGTGTCAGCCTGACACGGCAGCAGCAATCAAAACTCTGCAGTTAAACCTGCAATTTTCGTTTTTAATACCTTTTAAATTCAGAAAAATGTCAGAAACCTTGATGGAGTTTGGTGTAAGCTGCTACCTATGTAAAGTTCAAACAACTACAAACCAGAAGTTATTGTTTTATCTACAACACATTGATACGCTTTTAAATAAGGTGATCTATTCTTATCCCGTATTTGAGGACTACAAACTTCCTTATCTGATTACATCAGCAATGATTTTCTTTTTTTTTTGCTATTTGTAAGTTTAAACCAAATAAAAGTAAAAAAACAACAACACACACAGTCACAATAAGTGACCAGCTTCTACTTCTGCTTCTTACAGATGCTCCTCTAGCATTGTTTATATCTATGTTGCTGTGCTGCTGTAAATCTGATCTATTTTTCTGCCTAAGTGCATTCTGGGAGAGATTCTAGCCCTCAAGCCGCCTTCAAAAGGCAGGAAGAGTAAAGGGATGTTAAGATTGTGTTGTTACCTCGAATGATGAACTCCTGTCCATCGACGCGGGTGTCTCCTTTGGAGCGCTGCAGCAGAGTGATCCAGTGGTGCATCTCCTCGGGCGTGTCGGCGTTGCAGTGCAGCAAGCGGTTTGCCGTGATCATGACGAAGGAGTTCGGCCTGTTACGGTTCAGAAATGCAGTTAATGGTGATGATTGTAAGAATAAGAAGAAGAAGAGAGGATCAAACACCGACAGCTGACCCTTCACAAACTTTTAAATCTAAAACCAGATGAAAGACATGAGAACAATCAGTCTGAACTCAGATTGAAGAAGCATCCTAAAGTATGAAAGCAGGAATTAATTTGTTTTTGTGTTGAGGCCATTGCTGGATTTTTAAATATGTATGAAAAGCAGCACACCCTAGTGGCTGAGTTGAAAATAATGAGGTACTGAAACCAAACGGGTCTCAACAGACCTGAATGAAGAGTGGTGGCATTTATCTAACTGACACTACTTCTGCTAGTGTGTGTGAAACAGTGCAGGGCTGAACAAAGAAAGGCCAGAGACGTGACGTGATGTCTGATGCAGATCCTCACCTCTCTGGATTATCTGACGCACAAACCGAATCGATCATCCCTACATCCAACGTTCCCTGACGAGACAGAGAGAGAGGTAGGGGTTTCAGTAACAGTGTTCAGGATGTGGATAATGAGTTTGACCTTCCTCTGCCCCGTGGAAACCAATTATCCCACACAGACACACACACACGAAAGCAACATCACGCTCACTCACAGGTACAACGCTGAAAGGAGGAAACAGCATTTCCAACACATCTATGTTCGATCAGAGAATTGAAAAGAACAGAACAGAACATAACAAAAGAGGGCAGCATGACATAAAACACATCTAAAAGTGTTCAGATTGACACAGAGGGAATTTTAAATGTCAATGGAAGGAAAAAAGAAAACGTGAACAAAGGCAGATCAGCTCTAAGAAGAGACTCATCCACATGAGTTGAGATGTTGTTTTAACAAAAACATTGCTCTTATTCTGAAGCTATTTCACTTCCTGTACATACTTACAGAAGAAAAAAAAAGAGTGAAACCAGTTTGATGAATCAAAAAAATCTATACCATTTATATTCAGGTTTCTATTCTTTTAATATCTCTGGGTGTTTAAGAATATAGTGGTCAATGTTGCAAATCAAGGATCAGGACTGTATAAAACCATGTTCGAGCCATTCTATTTTCATTATTTGTAAAAAGTAATTTAAGATAATGGCTCAGTTATCAGTTTTGGGGGGTTTCAAGTTCTGGGAAGAAGATTTTGACTTATTATTGACATTGCCATTAAGACATCATTTGACAGTGTAACTTGAGATGGGTTTTAGCACCAATAACCAAAACTATTTTTCTTCCTAAAAAACACCCAGCACACATTACAACTCCATTTCCCACAGCGCTTTGCTTCCCCCGCAGTACTCACCACAGCATTCTGGGGGTTGGCCTGCTCGTCGTGCATTTCTCTGATCTCCTGTTCTGTAGAGCCGTGGACCTGACTCAGCACGCTGAACCACTGGCTGGAACCATGCAGACGACATCATCATCAGCAACATCATCAAGACATGCAGCCAATCAGGATTTACAGTGAACAGGACACGTTTGAAGGTCCAAAATACTGACGTCTCAACTGATAAGTTGATTTCAGAATAATTTGACTCAAGCTGTCTCACTAAACTGGGATATCGTTTTGTCACTAGATTACAATTTTCTTTTGTGTCACATAAAATATATGATCTGTCTTATCTAATCTTATTTGGAGTTTGTGAAGAAAGAAGCATACAGAATTCACGCAAAATCATTATGTATTTTATGACATCTAAACGGTGAAAGGCTTTTGGTTTTCTGTCTCTGTTTTTCAGACGTAAAAAGATTTGCATTGGGTGAAATGATGTTGGGTTACTTCTAATTTACTTTTGTCCAGTGAAAAAAATCATCAAGTTACATTTTGGAAATTCTTTTGTTATTAATTATTGCATATTTGTGTCAATATGCTGTTCATATATAGTAAATATTCTATGTTCAGACTGATGCTTTCTCAAACATATGGAGCTGATGTCGGTTCACACTGAGAGAGAGGCTGGCACTGCTAACCTGCTGCCAACACACACACACACACACACACACACACACACACATACACACACAGTTCTTCATCTTCCTGTCAGGACAGATATATGGAGGAAGTGGACTGCCCCCTCTGAGAGGAAATCGATGTGTTACCAGGGGCAACCAGCACAACGACCCCATAGCGACAATACCTCTCCTGTCTGACTGTGTGTGTGTGTGTGTGTGTTTGTTTTCTTGGGGTAATCATAAAAGGAGTTAAAAAGGAGACAAATCTAAAGACAGAAGCTGGTTAAAGGAACAGCAGGTGCAGCATTCTTACTGTATTAATGATATCTATAAGTTAATGATATCTTTAAGTTAATGATATCTTTAAGTTAATGATAACTGAATGTGACATAAAGTTATGGTGTCACATCAGTACATTACAACAAAGACATACCATGTGGGGTTGCTCTGATCAATTCACATGGCTGTTTCTTTTATACTTTCATATATCACGTTTGTTTTTGTCTTCTTTTCAGACCTGTGTAATTCTGCAGGGACATTTAGATGTATTTTTGGAGAAGTATAATTCCAACTTTAGACATTAACACTAATTGTGATAAGGTGTGAAAAGTGTTTTGTAAAGCGCTTTGGACTACATCACTGCATGAAAGGTGCTCTAGATTAAGTTATATTAAACATTACTGTCTGAACACACACCTGGCATCCTCGGCAGACTCTGCGATCAGATGGTAGGTCCTCTCTGGCATCACAATGTCGATTCCATTCTCCTTACCAGTGTTATCAATTATTTCTCTGCAGATCACAAAAAATCTCTCCATAAGAACCTCACCTCGTCCTCTTTGGGTCACCAACAGGACACAATCAAAAGATATGACATTAACTAATAAGACTAATTTTCTTGAAAAATGTTTTGACATTACATTTCTATTTGCAGCTTTCCTATTCAATACTGTTATTATAAAGTCAGCATGTAGTGGCCAATAGAACAACAGCATCCTAGTTATTGAGATAATATTGTAATACATGTACACAGTAATTGTGATTATTTCAGATATAATAATAAGTACTGAGTGTATTTCTCTGACCATTTTCTTTATTCTAGATTGCAGCCTGCATGTCCGATGTGTAATTATGTAAATAAGCTTAACACTCAATTACAACTCCCCATTCTTTTATTTCTTACAGCTTGTTCTCTATAAAGAGTAACAACACACAATACAAACTATCTTTGTTCAGCGTTGTTTTCCTTCTTTTTAGGTGTGTCTATCTATGTCTATCTTCCTGTACATTTTTCTTGGAACTGTGTGTAACATTGAGAGCAACTTAAAACTGGAGTCACATTCCTTGTAGGCCTATGTGTACACACTCTTTGCAGATTCTGATTCAGTGATATATTAATAAGTGTTGTCAGCAACGCAAAGTTAAAACCAGAGTTCGACTCCTCATTCTGGTTTGGAAATGTAACTACTGCGGCACAGCTGACTGTGCCCTGTTAAACGACATCATGCTGGTGATTTTGAGGTAGCCTGATTGTTCCTTACTTGGCATTATGCATGTCGAGCACTCCCTTCATCTTCTCCTCGCCATCGTTTTCAAAATACATGAGCTTGCTCTGCCGCAGCACGAACCAGCGGCGCTTCCAGTTGCGGCGGGACAGTGTAGACGAGCCCCCTCCCTTCTTGTGCAACCAGCCCTGCTTCAGAGCCTCCTGCTTGGCCCGAAACCACAGGAAGGTCTCATCCTTCAGAACACACCAGCGCCGCTTCCACGTGTTTATAAGACCGCCTGGAGAGGAAAATATTGAGAGATTTTGACTCATGTGATCACAGTCCACTGCTAAATCTGTGACCACGAGGGCTGTGACTGCTGGGGGACAGAGAGACGTGAGATATTACATGACATTTGTTGCACTAAAGATTTTGATGTGAGGTTGGAATAGAAGGACAGAACAATCTAACTATTACTACAAATCATATTCTCACTTTACTGTGGAGCTTCTCAAAGAAGTGTAATACTGTAATGAAGGAGATACCTTTGATGTAGAGGAAACTGTGGAAGTACGGCAGCGTGACGCAGCTGTAGACTGAGTCCCGCCGATACGACAGCTCGTCATCGGTATCAAACCTGTCAAAGTCATCCTCGCTGTCCTCAAACTGGAATGAAAACAACAGAAATTCAACATATACAAAGTCAGCATGGCTGAATGTTTTCATGGTAGAATGTAAGTTACTGCCCCTCCTGACAAAATCATTCTCTGACTTCAGCTTCTTAAATGTGAATTTTCTGGTTTGTTTACTCCTCTATGACAGAAAACATAACATCTTGTGGACAAAACAAGACATTTGAGGACATCTTGGGCTTTGAGAAACACTGATCTACATTTTTCACCATTTTCTGACATTTTATAAACCAAACAACTGATCGATTAATCGAGAAATTAATCGACCAATGAATCAACTATGAAAATATTGGTCAGCCCTAATCCTGAGACCAGACTCACCGAAGACTGAGCCCCCTCCGAGCTGAAGCGGTAAGCCCCTGAGCTGTTGTAGGTGCCTACAGAACCACGGTAGTCAGGAGACCACTGGCCGCTGCGAGGGTTGGAGAAGGCCACACTGCCACTGGACACAATGGCTCCCTCATCGTAGTCATCCTGGTCGTAGTCTGAATCCTCGTCTGGTGGTATGAGCTCCACCAGGTCATCGGACTGAGCCTCGGACGAGGCCTGGGGGTGGCAGTAGGCCGAGTCTCCGCTGGAGGAGTTGCTGTGGCAGGCGAGGGGCAATGGTGGTAAAGGCAGCGGCTGGTGAAGCAGAGTCAGGGTGGTTGGTGGCAGTGGTGGGATCACACCATCATTGGCGTATGGGTCTTCTTCAGACGAGTCATCACTTGTTCGGATCCCGCTTGTCCGCTGGCCGTCAGAGTGGCCATGCTCGCTCGGGTTCGGCGAGTCTTTGAAGGCCTCATCATCAGCCCCAAAGCCTTCGTCCACCTCCTCCTCCTCGTTGCCTCTCCTCCGGCCACCCTCTTTCTCCTTCTCGTCCCCTTCGCTGACTCCCAACGAGCTTTCAATGTTCCTCACGCACTCATCAATCTCGTCAAAGTTCAGCGAGTCGAGGAACTGCTGCGCCGCCTTGCAGGCTTCGTCCTCCAGACGCCTGAGCTCCTGGTCACGGAGAAGCTGCAGGCGGTTGAGGGAGGCCTCGGTCAGAGAGAGCTCCTGACGCTCCTTCTGCCTCTGCAGCACCTGGATCTCCCGCTCCAGTCGCAGGATCTCCTCCACCTGAGATGCCTCGTGAGGACGGACTGCCTCCTCTTCTTCAGATCCCTCCTCGAGGGCCTCTGCTGACTCCAGCTCCTCCAAGGTGTCCGGTGATGCTGCAGCTGCTCCTGCAGGCTGAGGCAGAGCCAGAGAGGCTAACTCCTGATGAAGCTCCTCCAGTCTTCTGGCCTCTTCAGCCTGAGAACAAAAACAAAAAAAATTGGAAAACAATCTGATGGAAACATTTTTTGAAATCTTTGGAGGATCTGCACTAAAACTGATATAACAACAGAAGACTTGTCATCCATTCACCTCTAAAATATTATCCTAAAGGAATCATGAAGGAATTTAGGGGTACTATGACACAGGTTTCTCCAGGTCATGTTGGGGTCAATTGCTGAGCTAACTGAGCACTGTGTTTCCTCGACCGGACTCAATAAATAATGCTATGTTAAGTAAATGTAAATGCTCCGTACTTACATAGCTCCTCACTTCACACCTGAACCTGGCTCATAATATTTTGATAACACTATCTGTTTCAATTGACTGTTCTTCAAGTCTTGACAGTGTCATTTATCATAATTTTACTGCAGCTTTTTGCCTCCCCACATCTTTTTCCAAGGTACCTACTCTAATTTCTACACAATGCCTAACAAGTTGATCTGTACTGTATAATAATGAATGTACTCAAATAAGATAAAAACAATAAAATAATCTCAAAAAATTTATGAAAATTGTGTCTGACAGACCAATCCAAATATGCCTATGGAGGCTGGGCTCTGCCGAATATCATCAGTGAAATGTTTAAAATGTTAAATCACACAAATTAATTCCTTAATCAGTTTCATCGTACCTCTCTGGCGAGTCTCTCAGCCTCCAGCCTCTGCCTCTCCCTGCACAGACACAAACAGATAGACATCAGCTGACTGAAACAGACAGTAAAAGATATGATTTACCAAAACACAAGTTAATTACATTTCCCGTCTCACTGTGGCATTAAAATCCCATAAAACCCATCTAGAATACAGGTTGTGAAGATCAGACGGAAAGGCATCTGTCCAAACAACAAATAACCAAAAAGTACATATAATACTACAGGTATGTGGGTATTTAGTATGCTAACTGTACTGGTAACTTGACTAACTTCACATTGCTGTCTCTTTCTGTTTATTTAGTCTTCATCTTTGCTGCTATTTGCTGCAGTGTTTTTTACTTCTGATTCTGATATTATTTGAGTCACAATTCTAATGTTTTTCGGCCAATAAATATACATTAAATAATGGATTTAGTTTAGCCAGAATTGTATATATAGTTATTGGTGACTAAGCTTTGAAAATTAGACCATCATGTTAAGAGAAATTTTGACAGTTTAATGGATATGTGAATGTGAAGTATGTGGGGAGGCATTTAGACCTTTGTATTTCTAAAATCCTGCCTATCATAAATCACTTCTGGTGCACCAGAGGATTTGTTTTCCCCGCTCACTGCAGCTACAGCACCAGACAACGTGTGCTGTATTAATAACAAAAAGGATTACATGAGACCAGCAATTGGTAGAATTTATATAAAAACCCCTATAACTACTCCTTATATTGTCTGGCCCACCTCTCTATCTCCTCCATCCTCCTGCAGCGCTCCTCCTCCTCCCTCCTCCTCCTCTCCTCCAGTAGCCGGCTGTAGGCCCGGCGGGCCAGCTGGCCCCGCACACGTTTCTGGAAGGTGAGCGCTGCCCAGCGGAGGAGGAGGAACTTCCTTCTCCAGTAGAAAGCCCGGTAGTTCTTCTGAATGACCACAATGCACTGCAGAAGCTTCCTGTACTGCTTCCTGTGTGCAGGACAGCATCAACAACGACCATTGGTTAGAATGAGCATTAAAACTGTTTCTGAGTAGCTTCGTGATGTTGTTGTTGTGTTGAGTTTTGTGTATTGAGTCATACCTGGCCATGTAGCCCATGACGTGGGCCTGGATGATCATGGCCGCCTTCAGCACCTCCATCTCCCTCTGCTTCTCCAGGCGATGCTCCAGAGACTCACGAAGAAAGACCTGAGGGAGGAGAAGAAGAGGACAAAGGAAGAGTGTTATTGTATCACTCTTATCGGAAAAACATTTCAGTGTTTAACTGAACTTTAACCTTTCTCAATCCTTTTAAGTCCATGTACAGAGAAAAGAAAGAACAAAATACAACACTACAACTTTATGTAGAATTTATAAAAATGAGGATGAAGAGATATTAGGTAGAGATCAATAAAACTACAGTATTCATTTTGTTTGTTTTGAGCTGTAGGTCCTGACATGTTTTTAACACATGTCCAACTAATTCATTCATTTCCATACACCTTGTTAAAAACATTTCCTTTCCTAAAGTGCAATTTATTATTATTGCCCTCTCTAATTAATCTACTGATTTTTCTGCAGATTTTTTTATTGTATAAATGTCACAAAATATTTAAAATGTCAAGCACAAGAATCCTCACGCTGTGAAGCTGAAACCACAGAATGTCTGGCATTTAAGACTTCAACACATAACTGAGTGACTCAATTAATTGACTATTTGTGTCAGCACCGTGCTCCAATGAAAGACTTTTTCAGATTGTCCAGTATGTGTGGGAGTTTATCAGGTGGAGTTTTAAAAGCATTTCATCAGACCAAAAGGTCATAGGAAAGTTTATACTGATCCATCAAAGGTTCTGGGAGAAGACTGTCACAAAAAAAAAGAAAAATGTGTTGTGACTATTATACTGAGCTATTAAAATAATCCTAGATTGTTATATTATATTTGTTAAATATATACATGTGATTAAACAGGTGCAATGAAAAATGCGTCCTGTTGTGGTATTAAAACAGAGTGGAAGATTAACAAATCATCCAGTCATGGCACACCATTGTACATGGTACATCCATTACATACGCTGTATTACACACACAATATGAATTTACAAGTGAACAGAATTAAAAAGAGGCAGTCCCTCCTTTTTCTTTAACATCACCATTTAAAAGACACTCCCACTTCCAGAAGAACAACTGAACTGAACAAAGCAGCCGACATAAATCAAATCCAGATCCTCCTTGCCTTTTGTTCACATTGCTAAAGACAGCAGATTACTGCAGCGAGTGATTTCGGCTACATCTCTCTGTGAAAAGACCGGTCTTACAGGCACTTAGTGCAGCTGCCTACCATAGAAGCCAAGCTGTCGTCCATTGATAGAGAAACTGGGCTCACTGAGGGACGCCGGGGGTTAATCCGATTAGGGAGGGAGGAAAATGAGATATGGGACATGGTCTCGGGCGACAGAGACGGTGGGGAAATGACACGGTGCTGCGAGGGTACAGGAGTACAGATTGCCTTTCTCCTGTTGAACGATGTATTGTGTGTGTGTGTGTGTGTGTGTGTGTGTGTGTGTGTGTTGTTGGCAGAGCGAGTGTTGAATCCTCAGTGGTGGAGCACTAATGAGATTTTCAGGAGGAAATGTAAACTTGTTTGGGTGATTTGGATGTCACTGACAAGCAGGTTAATTAACAAGGAAACATGCAGTACATGCCCCGGCACGGGCACATACACACACACCCCCAAAACCACCAGTGTCTCCACCTGAAGTCAGATGCTGGGTTATAAAAAAGACAACAGCATTTCAAGCATCAGAGCAGATTAAAACAGTTTGATTTGTATATAGACATTGTTTGCAGTTGTTCATTTCTCCTTCTGTATATATTTATATACACTATGTTTACTTTTACCCATCTTTGTATCCATATCCATAACTCTATCATCTTTTTCACACTGTGGGAGAATATCATACATATTCTGTATCACCACGTTTGCCCCATTTATTGAAGCTACATGTCTTGTGCATATTTGTTGTAACACATATCCAAAAAAATCAGTCTGTTCAAACCCATTACCATTCAAAACAATGTGACCCACTGGTGGGTTTGAAGAAGTAAAATAAAATGTTTTTTTTCCTTAACCTCTTCAAAAAAGGTACATTTGTACACACGCTCACTTCATTAATGGACTTCCTACATGAATCACACATGCTCAAAACGTTCGTCCTAGTGTACAAGCGCACACATTTGCATCTCCATGAATTGAACAACTAATCCTTTTTAATCATTACTATGCTAATTAGCGCAACAAAAGCCGCGCTAAGCCACTGCACACTTTTGATTCCGGCTGTTGGGGCCCTTACGGAGTGCCGCTCCCCGTGACAAGGTCAGGCCCGCGGAGAGAACAGAACCCTGGGAGAAGCAAGCAGAGCCACATCACTTCCAGGAAATTAAGTTTGAGGCTGTAAAAAACAAAAACAACTCCCAGACAATAGTCAGGACATGTGCCAACTGAAAGGAGCTGGAGGCCGGCTCAATGTAAATCTCACTGCGAGAGGCAGTGGGACAAAGTGGACGAATCCCTCTGAGGGAGATTGAATTGATTTAATGGTTTATAGGCAGTCACAGCAGCAGAAAGGGCTCTGTGTTTCAGTGCTGAGCATGGTGTTGACACTGTCAGGTTTAGAGGCTCTACAGAGGGCTTCCAGGTGGTGTGACTTCAGCCTGGTAGCCATGTTGGATGTTCAACTTTCAGAAAAGCGACAAGAAAGCACCACTAACTGTTTTGTAAATCTGGTAATTGCTGGCATTTCATTGCTGCCCTGCAGCCGTGCTTTTCACAGAGGCAACACACCCAGTGTCCTCCCTTACAGCTGGGGCATTTAGCACATTAAAACCCCAGCAATAGGAGAAGACTTGAATGCTGTTCTCCAGAGGGAGAGTTTTTACTTTAAACTCTGGCTCCAAGATGTCTTAAAGATGAACACCATATAAAACAGTTCAATCTATTTTTGATATAGCTCCTTGTTGATAGCTTGTCTTAAACATATGTACAACATATATTTATGTTATGGTTAACAGTAAATATGATGGATATATTTTATATCCAATAATCTTATATTGGTCATCTCGCAGCATTTTTGCTCCTTAATCTTCATTCAGTTTCTTGTGCTACTGATCCTGGACACACACACACATACACACATTCATCCGTCCACCAACACATACATGTATCCTCCACTGCTGTCACCTCTTGGAACATCACACGGTCATGCTGTGATTAAGAATCTCTGTCCACCATCTGTCATTTCCCCACAGCAATCACACACACACACACTAATTATTCATGGCCTCACACACACCTACACACACACACACACACTCAGAGCCTACAGTCACACAGGCTCCTGAGCTCTGGAATGATTTCATCGACCTGGATTTGTAAGAAGCATGAAGCCAAATTAAGCCTTGAGGGGAGCAGAGTGCAGCCAAAATGGATTGGCATCCGCCGGCGGCAAAGTAAGTCATATTCATGTTAGCAAGGAGAATACGGGGCAGCCAGTGTGAGCCAGAGGCAGAAGGAGCAGCAGGACATTCAGGAGCTCAGGGTTTGACAGGAAAAAGTCAATTATACTGTGGAGGCCTGAGCAGAAGGGATATATTTCACTGCTGATCGACAGGAAATGCAAATCCATGGGAAAAATAGTTTTTGAGGAAAATTTTTGAGAAAATGACTTTTTACCTTGGATCCACTCTGGTCTTAAACATATTGACACATAGACCAGAGACCTGTAGCAATACAACAGCACCATACCATACCCAATTACCCTGAATATAATTTAATCCCAGCCTGACTGATGGTCCTTGTTCAGGTCTCAGTTACTAGGAACCAAGGTGACCCCTGAAGACCTCTACTTAATGGTCATGGCAAACCGTTTATCTCTCAAAGATGAAATTTATGTCGTAAAATGCAATAGAAAATGTAAAAACTTAATGTTAGTATGGGTATATAAGCAAAGAACATCTGTCCTGACCTTGGTCTTGCCCAGCTGCCACTCTGCACTGCTGCTGTCATAGAGGTGCAGCAGCTGGATGCAGCTCCCCCTGGGGTCATTTGGTATCATCACGCCCCGCATCAACACCTTGTACCTGAAGAAGTGATGAGGTAAAGCAGAAGGTTAGAATCCAGCGCTTTCATTGTTCACATGACGGAGCAGCATCGATCCGGTTCTTCGGGTATATTTTAGCTAAATACTGTTTTCTTCTTGACCTTTACATGTGTAATGTATCAGATCCTCTTGCTGTAATGCTCAGTGCTTTACATGATTTGGTGCTCTTTGGTGCAACAATGTTAAGAATATTTTTTTTCAATTGCACTGATTTGGGAAATGAGACTATCTGGACAATATTGGAGTTAAACAAACATCTGCAGGTTATTGGTATGTGACATTTCATCAGAGCAATGTGGACACAACCATCCATATCTGTCACATTACAATAGAAGAAGATGTGTGCGTTAATGTATGACTGAGGCGAGGGGCTGAATGCCTTGGTGCCGAGACAAACCTGGAGCAGAAGTCTTGGAAAGGTCTCCGGATGGGGAAGCCGGTGCGTCGAATCTTTACCGTCTCCAACATGCCGGAATATCTGAGCTGGTTCAGAACCAACGTCTGGTCGAACTGGTCAGGCATCTAGAGGCAGACAGTGACGATGGAATTTTAGGATAATTATAATAGGCCATTCGGCTGAAGACGGTCACATTCACATCTCAAGTGGACACTTTTATAAAGATATTTTAATAATGGTCAAATAAGTCAAGGGAGAAAAATATTAATGAGAATGTCGGAAAATGAGTCAAGTAATCATGAACATTTCAGATTGTTGTCTGCATTTAAGAAAAATGTTCTCTTTGTTAACACTGGAGGAGTTTACTTTAAGTACTACTAGTATTACTTTAAGTAATTTTAACACTTACTTACTTATTGCATATATACAGTATATTATAAATTTCCTGTATCTGTTGCTGGTATAAATAAAGGACATCTTGTTTATGATTATATTTCTGCTGGTTTCATGTGACAAGAAAGTCATGTTGATGTCCCCCCCCGCCAAGAAAAATCAACTCATTATTGAGACATAGGAGCCTCTAAAAGCATCAGCAGATGGTTTTTATTCAGTAACGACAGGACACTTTCATTTATGTTCCTCTGCAATTTAGTCCAGTCAATGCAGTCAGCTGCTCATACAACACTATTATAACAGTACTGACAATGTAGGAAACCACGCACCGTGTTGGTGATTGATTTTAGATTTAAACTCAATTTCTGTTTGAGAGCATGTTTGCAACACTGAAATATTGTTTTATATCATACAAAAGACTTTACGGTGATGAAAGGGTCAATTGAAAGCAATTCTGTATTGCAGTTTGCTTTCTGGATAGAAAAGGGAATAAAAAACACAGACAAGGGTTTTTGGTGGTGGGCCTTTTCTTTTTTTGGGGAGGTAGTGGAACAAGCTTAAAACAACATCATACTTTATAAAGTTTCTATGCCAAACAAGTAAGAAAGCAGTGCATTTAAACATCTGGCAGAGCAGCATTGTCATCTCATTGGAATGACAAAAAATAATCACTCAATCACTAAATGTTCTACTTTCTTCACTGGTCTCTAACTGTGTCTTTCTGCTGCTTGTTGCTGAGCGGTATTGTATGGAGACTAAACCAGACATGTAAAGCCAAATCTATGAGCCAAAAGAGAGGCTAAATAACTGCGTAAAAAATTCTGGCAAACTATTTCATATGACGTCTGCAGCTAAACCCCACGACACTTCCATCCCTTTAAACTTCCACACGCATCTACAGACACCAACATACATAACACTGCATTCCACTCATTCACAACGTTGAACTCAGAGGGAGAAGTGCATACGACAGTGGCAGCCATCAACAAATCAAAACCCTTCAAAAAAAAAAAACACACTTGGCATTGAGATACCAATTTTCCTTACAGGAGTGCATTCAGTGAAAGCCATTTTCCCGGGGACCTCTCTCACCCTGTAACCTCAGTGGGTGTAGGAGGGCTTAGAATAAGAGGGTGCTTTCAAACCCACTAGTAATGCCCCCTTTATTCAGCGCCCATCATCCCTGATAGCCTGTTGATGGCCCATTTAAGCTGCTGAGATGAAGGGAGGCCAATTCACCACCAGATCTCGACTGAGTGATTGAATAGTGGCCTTTAACCGCTACCGGCCACAGAGGGGACTTAATTAGCATAACTGACATTTGCATACGGCCGGCTGCAGCGTACAATGCTGAGCGGTGTCAGGAAGCTGCCCTCTGCCTCCTGCCTTTCTTTGCCCCCTGTTTTCTATCTCTATAGTTTCCTCTTTCTGCTCAGATTCTAGCTGCTTCTGGGATGTCAACAACCACTCTTTTTGGGAAGCTTATTCAGCTGCCTGGCCAACGTGGTAAATGAAATCGCTCCATCTTTCTTCTTCTCTATCATTCTTTCATTCTCTGAAACACAATCTGGAGAAGTTTCATGCTGTGTCAAAGCGCAGCCTCTGTCATTTTAAAAGACAAAATAAGAGACCTTCTCTTGCTTTCTGACTTCGTCACAACATTTTCTATTGCAGAAAGATCCATTTTATCCTTTCTATAGAGCATTTCTGTCAATGAAATAACTAAAGCTGTCTGAAGTGAGAATAAATAGCTCAAACTGAGACCTCTGTTGTCTACCTGCAGAGAGAAAGCTGTATGGGTCTAACACAGAATGATGCTCTGCCTTTATATAATACACATAAATCTACTTCCCCGCGACCCTGTACACAGGATAAGCGGTCGACGATGGATAGATGGACATAAATCTACTTTGGAAACTAGTGTCAAGGTTTAAATATTTTACATAAGTCACAAAAACCTGCAATTTTTTCACATATAATTTAAAGTGTGTTTTGAGGTCATTTGCAGTATCCATCTGATGTCTTTTCTATGCAGCAAAGTTCAAATGAAGAGAAATATTACTGTTAATATTGTGCTTCCAACTTTGTGTTTGCCCATTTCTTGTTTCAACATGCCAGTGTCCTCATGCACAAAGCCAGCTCCATAAAGAGACGGTTTTCCCAGTTTAGTGTGGAGATACTGCTGTGCACAGAGCTCTGACCTCAACCCCATCCCACACCTTTAGGATGAACTGGAATGCCTCCAGAATTTTGTACATTTGGGGAGGATGCCAAGCAGTCAGAATAACTGTTCTGAAATAAGTTAGTACAACAATCAGCATCCAGAACAAAGACTGAGAAGTAAACTCAGTGTCTTTCTCAGCCCAACTTCCCTGCTAAATAACTCAGAGCTCGGGGCATTCAACAGGACAAAAGGGGGCGTGATAGTCCTCTCCTGAGGGGGTTGGGAACCCAAGGAGGAAGACAGGGAAGACAACCGAACTCAGGATGAGCCGTCCATCCTTCCCCACCAGTAAGAAGGTACAGAGAGCTGGAATGTTGCATGATACCGAATCTTTATTCATTTAATAATTTTTCATTAAAAATTATTCATTAATGCTTTTACTTGCAGTTGGAGCTACAAATGTCTGTACTTCAATTTCTCTGTGTGAGATTTCATCTTCATCATCTCTTGTATCTACATTTTAGGCATCAAGATTACAGTCAGTGAAAAAAAGTTATGTATTTATGGAGAAATGCAAGAATCAGGCTCCAGACAGTAACAGCACATTCATCTTGGAAAGAAGCTGTGATTTTAAGAATAGTGAGCTGATGAAACATTGTTTGGTCAAAGGACATCTCACTTTACCTGCCATAATGTATTGACACTGGTCAGTTTGACCCTTCACACTAGCCTTCAAGTAAAATTTGAAGCACACTTTAAAACCTGGGAAATCTTAGATGGAGTTAGGATGCCTATGCCCATTTGCGTAAATGCCAAAAAATGATCTGGTTGAAGGTTCTGACCCACTGCTGCCAGATACGTTCATCTGGATCTGTTGTGGCCTACTTTACAGTTATTGTCATATAGGGTTGCAATTGCCCTTCAGCAGCCCAGAGTGGCAGTAACAGATTACTGGTCATTACCCAGAAGGTATCAAATGAGATATTCTCCTTGTGTCAAATCCAATTTTCTCTGGAGGAGGACTTGGTCTGCTCTTAAGGAAAAGGCTCTTTTTTTGCACCAAAAAGATTTTCTGCCAATGACTATACTCAACACAAAAGCAGAAAATTCTCACATTTGAGAAGCTGGAACCAGAGAACATTTGGCAGATCAACATTCTTGCTTTAAACAGGACCAAGAGCATCTAGAACACAAAGAAGTCTGTGTTTCTTTGTCAGAAGTCTTGTTTGCTGCTGGGCGTCCAGGTCTGAATGTGGGAGCCAGCAGGGATTATCACTCTCTGCTCAGTAGGGGCTGCTCTACTGAGTTTTGGGGAATCCCTAGAACAATGTTTTCCGCTCATAGATGGACACAAATCCGATCTAAATCCCTGACCCTGCTGGATTTAAGCCTTACCCACTTTGAAGGAGGATTCTTATTGGTTTAAATTTCTCATAATCATCAACGACACACAGGATTCCTGCAGGGGTAGTATTACTGAGATGAAACCAACAAATACAAAGACAGACAGACCGATACCATGGACAGTTAAGTTGCCGAGAAAATTTCATCTAGCCTCTTTGCACAAGTTCTGATAACGAATAAGAACTCAGAACAAATAATGACACCGAACAAAACATCCTGAATCTGAATACACCAGTGAGATGAATGAAAAGATGAATCACTGACTGTACCACAGGTCAGTATTAACGGCCTAGTTTTAAAAAGGGAAATTATAAAACATGCTGGACAAAGAGCAGCTATGGTCTAGGGATTGAACAAATTATTCTTTCCCATTATCTATTGATCTGTCAGTTATTCTTTTAATTTATCAATTAGTGGAACATGTGGATTGTTTGTTTTGTCTGACTAACAGTCCAAAACCCAAAGGTACTGAATTCATGATATAAATCGAAAGATAAGCGTCAACGTCAAATTCTCACCTCTGGAAAGCTGGAACAAAAGTAAATGTTTGGTATCAACAACTCGCACAAAAAGTGACTTTGACACAATGTTCGATTCTTAAAATCGTGGCACAGCAGGACACACCTGGCAGATGGGTGCACTTCACTGAAGTATGTGACAGACATTATTTCCCATTTTAACATCACAGAGATTGTTTTCTGTGTTTCGGCTATATTGAAGGATCAACAGCAGCAAAAGTGAAATCCCATTAGAAAGAGAACTGAGCTTTTCATCAATGAAACTACTTTCTCTTCATTATCATGTCATTAACTAAACACTCTCCTCATTATGTGTTCAACCTGATCATGCTTTGCCTTTCAAGCTCGATATAATTGTAATAATCATCATGCACTTGCAGCAAAGCATAGCCATGCAGGCTCCATCTCAAGTGTGTCATTTTGGTTCTGAAAGCCTTCAAGTCCAATTAACGAGACGACTAACAGGAAGCATCAGAGGGACTCTCTGTTCGTCCAGTGCATGGCAGTATAACATTACACAGCAATAATCTCTCATTGGATTAATTAATTCTGTAATTAAGAAACAAGCTGGTGCGTCTTTTTCTGGCTATTGGTAGAAAAATGACATCTGTTATGCTCAGGCTTTTTTCTTCTAAAATGAAACTTA